AAGTGTAAACATACATTGCTAAAGCGAAGCATAATTCAAGATTCGCACAAGACTGTTGGCACACAGTGATCATACCCTGATGGCAATGGCAAGCTTGCACCCTTCCTTTGCTGCACCTATTTTGACTTATTTATATCATTAGATATCGTTGTGTAAATAAAGTCATTGCTAGTTATGAAACTTTTATTATAGCTCACTTTATTTTAAGTCATACTATTAACGATGCCAAGATATTTGAGGAGAAACTAGTAAACAATATTTAGGTACAGTCTTAGTTGACCCAAATGCATTGGGGGATCGTTTACGCCATAATTCACGTCAGTATGAAGTTATTTTAGTGGATACTCGATAGACTTTGCTGGAGATGATGTTATTTAAAAACTGCGCAAAGACCAATATATCAGTAGCAATGCGGTAAACAAATCGAAAGCTCCAAAACAAACGCTGGAAAACGAAACACAGGAAACATTTTGAGAAGATCTCGCGCTTCCATCATCTCGATCATTATAGCGTGCTGGTTTGAGAAAAGTGTTCACGCAACCCAATTATAACCAAAGTTTTCCAAATAAAATTTAGCTTGTCAACTGTACTTCACTCTTAAAAAAGCAACTTAGGTTGAGATATTTTGCTAGACATGCAAAGACACGCTTACAAATTTGTAGTTCGTAAGCGCTGCGCGCCGAATGAACAGCCTTTTCGAACGCCAGCTATAATCTGCAAATCGCGAACAACGCTACAATCTTGTAACTGAAAAATGAATGGTTTAAACACTGGGGCTTTTCCTTTTGGAAAGACCTCCAGCCTTACCTTACCTTTCCTTACCTTACCTTCGTAATCAAAATCGCCCAGAAACTCAACGCTCTCTTTCTCTAACTCGCCCACTGGAACTCGCGCTTCTCGTGAGTGTGTTATGATATTGATGCATACCACGTGATAATGGTACATCACCAGTTGTGCGCCAATCAGCAGTTTGCAAACTACAATTCTGACGCGTGCAAACAGACTGCGTAAAAGCTTCGAAGCCCGGACTTTCTCGTAAGAAAGTTCATTATGTCTGTTTCATTTACCTGCGTGTTATTTTTCAATAAACTAACTACAACCCTTTGATGGGCGGAGGAGTTAAAGAGCGCTATCCAATAAGTACTTTTTAATTAAATCGTTAGGATAAGTAAACTGGTTGATTCATTCTGGTGGCTTGGAATATTAACTTTCGAACAAGTGTTCAAACAGTGTTTCTTTCCGGAATACGTTTAGTTCTCTACCCAGCCAAAACCGACAATTTTAAGTTATAAAATACAACAATAGCAATTACCTTACCTTGCAGCCGTATTCGCTAGCCCTGATAGTCTTTTGTGTCTGCAGTTGCTTTAAGCTCCCGTTGGGTCTCTTTCGTTCGATTTTTTCAGTTCGGTAGAATCTGTTGGAGATCGTTTAGGTAATCCGAAAATCTTTTGTTCGTAATCAAAACTGATCTTTGCGAGTTAAACTGACATCCCGCTTTTAACTCCTGCGTGTTCTCGTTATAGGAGCCTGAATGATCATCACGCTTTTAGGCTTTTAGAGTGTTGTCCTAGCCAGTTATATTAGTATAGAGCTAAATTTACTTTTCTGCTTTTAGTCACTTGTTTGTGTCGTTCGAGTTTGACCTGTATTAGTTTAGAGCTAAATTTACTTTTTGCTTTTGAAAGTCAACTTATATTGAATACTGAAACCATTTTCGTCTCCTTCTTCGGACAGATAATATAAACTTGGCTTTATTTTTCAGGAATGCTGGCATCACATCAGTTTAAGGGATTTTCAGTCAGTCCTGAAGGAACAAGCTGAACGGCCAAAACATGGCGTCAACTGGCAAATTTGTCTCTCGTTCGCAGGTTCGCCTGCCCAAAAATCTAGTGAAATACGCGCTTTGTATCTATATTCGGAATCTTTAGTTATCTTGAAAAGTTGTGCGGTGGTTAATAAGATCAAATAATGAGCAGCATCACCAAAGAGAGGGATTTTCTTGTGTCTTCGTTGAAAGTTAGATTTATCGTTCATTCCCGGAGGTGGAAGATGCCAAAATTAAGGAAAATTTTTAATCCTAAAAGCTCTCGGCAAAGACATTTCATTTGAATCTTGTCTCTCTTCACAAGGAATATGCCGGATGCATATTCTTGATGCTGATCCTTTCACTTCTAAAAGAATACCTTTCATCTGCCATGATGTGGTCCTCACTGAAATCTATTTGAGCTCAATTCAATGGAGTGATTGATCATTCAGGTCAAACTGGCCGTTATCAAACGGTACTTTTCTGAGGTGTTGTTCACTAAGAAATGTAGGTCTCTCGTGCGCTTTAACAGACCTGCGATGTGCATTTAGCAGTGATTCAATAAAGACTGAAGAATAGTTCCAACTTTCATTCAATGGGTCATGAAATTATTTGTGACCAGTCAAATGGAGGATCTGATTAAGGAGTCAGTCTTCCTACTGTTTGTCAGTTGATTCTACTCGTGCAGTTAGTCCTTACTAAGCGTTATTTTTGACTTGTCGGTGTAAATCAGTGGCACCTTTTGAAGGGAAAATTTCTTTGGTACCGTTACAAGGTAACTCTATGTTATCAGTCTCAGGCTAAGGACTGAAATAATAGAAATTTGCTGACCTTTGATGGCTGTTCTAGCTTTTGAGTCTGTGAAAGAAATCTTGAAGGGCGACTTAGTATCGTAATTAAACCCTTGCGCAGCAGCAGTTTCCCAAGCTTCTGTTCATTATAAAGTATATGGTGGTTTTTAGTGATCGAAAGAGTTAGGATGATCGCCAAAGACTGTCTCGAGGGACGAATTTTGACCCACTCGCAATAGCCAATCAAAGTCAAGAGCATCAGCTCTAAAACAGTCCCATAATACAATTCGCGGACACAACTCCAACCCAGTCTCAAAACGGCTAACAAATGTTTTCGTGGTGCTTTTTGGTGCTGTTCAGAAGGGCGGTAAAATAAATTTGGTAAAAGTTATTTTAGAAGTCATTTCTAAAATCGCCAAGAATCTGTTATTGGATGCTACACTTTGCGTTGAATTGATCTTCAAGTGATATTGCCCTAGCCTGAGTACAACGTCATGAATGTATACTGCCAGTATTGCTCTAGATTGATTGAAAGTTGTTTAGTAAGAACTTTCGATACGGATGTAGACGAGATTAAGGGGCGTATTGAGTGCCTATTATACTAGAACAATTATCAACAAATAAAAAATCCAGTACGAGAACTCTCAAGTGTGTTGTTCTTGAGTGCTCTATTTTAAAATTTGGATTTTGTTTTTCATTTTATCTCCCAAGTTCAAATGACGATTTTAAACTGCTAAGAAACCTACTCGTATTGACATTCTTGTTTAGAGAGTAATAAGATATATTGATCGAACGTTTGGTCAGTGAAGCGTGAGAATAGCTTGCAAACAGATCGAGCGGGTGACGTCACTCTTCTGAAACGCTACTGAAACGAAGCATCAATTTTGGTAAAAATACTAACTGCTTACAGTGCACAAAAAGCGGTCTTTTTCGAAAATCAACTCATCCTTTTTAGTTTTAACATACATTAAGTATGTGGGCTATAAAACAGGGGCACCCATAGTCAATTTTTGGAAAATATCTGTTCGGAAGACGATTAGAGATCTAGAATTTTCGGAACATTTGTTGTAAAATTTCTTGCTTGTCTGCCTCTCCTAGGATTTTCGAACGTCTAGAAAATGGTATAATTACCCATTTTTAACGGATTTTTACCCTAAAAAGGTCACCGAGAATTTTCGGGAGCCTTTTTTCCGGATAAAATTTTCGAAAAGGTAAATTTTAATCCCTATAATTTTCGGATCACTAGACTTTCAGCTAAGAAATCCGAGCAGATGAAAAATTTTTAGGGGATAAAAATATGCCTATATCTACTGTTTAAATACTGAAATGCGTTCAAAAATGCTATGTTTAAGTGGTTTTGAACTATATTCTCTTTGGGTGCCCCTGATAAAAGACATAGTAGGAGCGTCAATAAAAGACACATGTGAGAGTCATTTGATTATGACTGATAGGAATACATACAGAATTTTTCTTTTTTGTGTGTGCGTGCATGGCAAAATTAAACTAAAGCTGGAATCCGTCCACTTTCCGCTTTGAGGTTAGTTGTGAGATATATACAGAAAGCAAAACACTGGACATGATTCGTTTAGAAAACAAAAGCTGAAACTGCTCAAGCAGTTGATCGAGAATTAAAAAAACGCGTTTTAGACTGCTTTAATGGTTTCATAACTAGACGTGTGGTAAGTAAATTGAATATATGACGTTTTAAGGTTGTGACTGGCTTCCTCTTTAAGGAATTTTCAAATTGTAAACAATTTTTATATTTCTTTGAGATTTATGTGGTCTAACGACTCGAGGTGAGAAAGACACGAAGAAGACTAAGCTTGGAAAAAAAAACGAAGCGATGTCGTTTTAGCTTTTAGCTCAGGTCTTATATAAATGTAGAATGTTTTTAACAAACTACAATAGGTGAAAGACTAAAACTTTGATGAATGCGCGCGAATAATCAAATTAAGCTAAATCCAACTACAAAATCTATTACCAAAAACCTATATATTTGTAAGGTTTATCTCGTTTCATCAGCTGAAAAGGTCTTGACTTACCAGCAACATTTTTTGGATAATTCCTTTGAGTTGTTACAGCTCCTACTGATTCTGTAGTTAATAAGGCGACTGAATACATCAGTTTTGCTTTTGCAAATTCTTAGCCGTTGATGTCACATAAGTTCTATTATTATCAGTAGGATTACACTTAGGAAAGGACAATAAAAATGGGGCTTGTTGACATCGTTTCAGCTTTTTCGCGGAAACTAGGGAAGATTAGAAGGTTTCGATTTACTGAGATTTCTGAGAAATTCCGGAATATTGGCAAATTTTACCTTCTACTCTCCTGTTGGGGTTACTGTCCAGCCTCGTCTCCATGCTTCCGAAAGTGAGATCCTGGGTCCAAGGTAACAGGAGCTAAACAAAGATGGCGTCTATGTAGTTGGTTGCGTAGCGAATATTTCTGGTTTTGCGGTACAAAAAGTTGAGTTACTCATAAAAAAGGGAGTATGTGTTGAGTAAATGTTCAAAATATTTATTATTGCCATAATTATGGATGAGGAAGATGGAGAGTTGAGAAAGAAAAGTTGTTGTAACATTTCCGCGAATAGTTGTTGACGAGGACAACGACATGTCATTTGGCGGGAAATCATTTAAACGGGAAGAGTTGCGCCTAAAGCAAGAACTTGAACAGCTGTCTAGACAGTCAAAGCATGAATTCGCTGGCTTGAATACGATTGATAAGTCAAAGTTACTTGAAAGCAGCTCGAAAACCGCACTGGCGCAAAGAAGCCAGCCGACAAAACAGGGAGGATCGCACAGCCGACCCAAGAAATCTACGAAGAGCAAACGAAGAGATACAGAAACACGGGAATCAGATGGTGAGATTCCTCCGCCGAGTCCTTCTATTGATTTGGCCCCGGAATTAAGAGCAACGCCAGACTCTGGGCACGCAAAAGCCGTTGAGAAAGGTCACGTTCTTGAATCTGTTGCTTCTGCGGAGCGGAGGACTTCTGATTTGATTTCCAGATCTACTGGGATTGCTTCCATTCGCTCAAAAGTGGATTTAAATGTCGTGATGTATGGAAAAGGACTTGGTGATGAAAGTAATTTAAATGCAAAATTTAAGGAAAAGGTAAACTATCATTTAGCACAGCTGAGGTGCCAACCTTTTCAGGAGCTGAATTTAATGCAGATAATGTACCTAATTTCACAGGAAAAAAGAAAAAGATTCCCATTTTTGGATATTTTAGGGTATTTAAAAAATACCCATAAAAATCCCAAATTTGGCAAAGTGAGACAAGTCCCAACCAGGGAATTCCCAACCAAGTTCCCTGATTGGGACGTGTCTCACTCTTCCAAATTTGGGATTTTTGTGGGTATTCTTTAAATACCCTAAAATATCCAAAAATGGGAATCCGTTATTTTTTCCTGAGTATTGAAGTGTCAAGGTACATGTACTTTGGAATATTGGCTCATCATATGGGTTTTTGTTACATTGAAATCATTGTTATGATGAATAACAACTTTCCCCCAAAAAAGACAAACCTCCCCCAGGGGATTTCCAAAGATCCCCCATGGAGTGGATCAATATTTTCTGTAATCACACAATATTATAATATGTTTGCCTGACTATAAAGGTCAGAACACTCTAGGTGACAAGTTGCACCAACACGTTGCGGTGACAGATCACTCCTTGTGTACTGTGTTGGGTGACTAGTTGCAGCAACAAGATGGGGCGACACATCACAGTGACAAATCACTTTGTGTGTACTAAAGAATTTCTTGTTGCTACAAGAATTTACCAAAAATTAAATCGGACTGAATTTGTGCGCCTTGTTGTGGTGACAAAATTCTGTTGCAGAGAGGAAGGTTTTCACAAAAATTATCCAGTACACACAAGGAGATTTGTTGCTGCAACATGTCACCACGACATGTGGCTGCAGTTTGTAGGCTAGTGTGTACCGACCTTAAGCCAAGTTAATTTTTTTCTTAGAAATCAGTAGTGAAGCCACATTCAGCCAGGTCAGGGAGTCCTAAGACACCACGAAGAACACCCAAGGGAGAGGAAGTTCAGGCTAAAAAACCAGCAATAATTGGCTCTCAGAGTACAGCCGTAGCTGTTCAGCTTGCTCCTCGTCCAGCAAACAAACCACCAAGAGCAAGTTCAAGAGTCTCACATGCAGAATCAGCTAAAAGCCGTGCTTCATCTGTAAAGTATGTTACCTTTTGTTTTATAGTTTATAGTCTTAGGGCATGAATATATGGTTAATGTAGGCACCTGCTACATGTACAATAACAGTACATTTAAATATCTGCATTAGTAACCACATCTTCGCAAAAATAGATGTTCGTTCTCTGTATCATTGTATCATGATATCTAATGGGGGGATTTTTATTGCCCAGGCTTTCTTAAAAAAATTGTATATCACCAGGAAATGTCTAATGTGTATTTCTGCTTTTTGTTAAAAATCTGAAACAGGGATACTGAAATCCTCCTGCAAGTCACACCCACTTTACTTGACGAGGGGGAACCTCAACAGGATGTTGTGGTGCTAAACGCTGCTGAACAAGATGACAAGGGTAATGTAACACAGAGGACAGCTATAGATCAGGGATGTGAGGATGAGATGAATAAGCAAGACAGTGAGAATCTGGGAAACCAGTTAAGTGCAGTTGATCAGGAAAGTGATGAAATTGTCAAAATAAATGTGCAAGAATCAACTACACAAGAACCTAAGGATGCAGATGCAGGAAAGGAAGTTGGAGAAGTAACCGAATCTTCTTTAGCTCTGAATTCTGAAAAGCTACATGCAGATGATAGGTGCCAGGAGGATGAGTCTCCAATAAACAGGATCCACTCGGAGATTCTTGAACTAACAAGGAAACTGAGTTTGCCTGAGACAGGTTTGCTCAACCTGATACGAGCAACTGAGGAAGCTGAGAATGAAGCTAAAAGGCAAAGTGAGGCAGCAGTTGCTGCTTCTCCATCCAAAGAAAGCTTGTTGCTTCGTGCAATGGCTGAACATGGTAGCACAGATTTCTCAGTGTATGGTGCACTGAGAGGGACATCCCCTCGGGACCCAAAGGCCTTATCAACGAGTCCTTCAAAGGTGCCAAAGACCCCTGTTGTTCCTAGCAGCACTAATCTACAGCATGAAGCAGGAGGGAAGACCTCCATTGAGAATGAAAGTTTGAACACAAGCCCTAGGAAAGACAGAGGAGCTACTATGAACAGTGAGAGTCTTGTCACTGGTGATGTGGCTTCGCAGATACAAAGAGCTGATGACCTGTCTAAAACAGCTGGCAAAGAAACAGAAGCGAAAAGAAGTGAAGTGACATCAGATAGAGACTTACTAGGTGTGTTGCAGATGTCTTTGTTGATTTTTCAAATCATCTGCAAAGAGAATGATTCATGCATGTACCTCCCTTATGATCGGTATTGGTGTGATTGCTTATAGTTGTACAATAATATTTTAGATGAAAATGGTAAATGCGCAGCTTTTGCGGATTTTTGTGGGAAGTTGCTAACACAAAAGATCTCGAGAGCTTACATGTAGCTGAAATCCCATACAGCTGTAACTAGATGGTTGCACAGAGTCGGTGTTTTCCATTTAGAACATAAATGTAAAAGAGTTCAAAGTTTGTTTACAAGTAGTATACACCAGACAAAAAAAATGGATTTGAAATTCAGGTAAATCCACGAAATCCTGCGAAATTCACAAAAACATACAAAATATGGCAAAATTGGATAGAAATTTAGCCAAATACATCTCTGTACAACATAGTTGAAACTTATCTCGGCTATTGGGGCTGATTACTTGCAGTAAACTTGCAAATTTATCTTGAAGCTTTGTCACTGAAATGAGCAAACAACATCCCAAAACTACTAGGTGTAGATTACATATTGTGCAAAAACTGTGCTGCACTAGCCATGTTGTTAAAAGCTTTGCCTTTGGTTCATTTCTCAAGCATTGAAAGAACAAATTAATGATTATCTCTGTTAAAAATTGTTAAAACTGCTGGTCAAATCAATGCAGAACCGATTGATTTCTTGGGGAATTTGCCCAGAAAATTCCCACAAAATTGGTGGTTTTTACCGATTATCTCACGGCGAAGTTTGCCCTGAAAAGTCCCACGAAAATCCTGCAAAATTGGCTGAGTTTTCCACCAATTTGTCACTGAAAATCTGGCGAAATTTCATTTTTTACATGGCCTATCAGAAGCCCTGAACTGTACACTATTTTCCAAAATTGTAAAAAACTGAGGAGTAATCTAGGGTGAAAGATGGTAAAAGCCACTTTTGTCTCCTTTTTCTTTTCCTGAACTTTGATACAGTCTTTTAGATTCAACTCTAGAGAAATTTGCCAACATTTGACACAATGGAAGAGTTGGAATAAGCGTGATAAAGTTTGAAGTAGTGCAAATTCACTATTTAAGTGACATTTTTGTAGCCGTTGCAAGCCCTTCTGGGGGAAAGTGGATGGGATTGAGGGGAGCACATAATATGTAAATGGCAAAAATGTAATAATATGAATGGAACTTGCCCAATATTTAACAATAATATTATTCCTTGAGCCCGAATGGGCTCTGAGTCAATAGTCCATGAGACGAAGGGCGATTGGGCTATTAACTCAGAGGCCATGAGGGCAAGGGGAATAAATGTTTTAGTAAAATCCAACTAGCTGGTCAAGAATATCGCAAATAAAAAAAGTTTAGCCGGTTAAAGCTAGACTTTAATCCTTTTTTGCCGCCAAAAGCCCACACTTTTTGCTACTAGGGGGCTATAACATATAGCCTAGTAGTAGCTCAACCAATCAGAATGCAGCATTGATAATAGACCACTAGTTGGATTTTACTAAAAGTAATACCTGGTGAGTGTTTTTTTAAACAATCCTTTAATCAAATAAAATAGGTTTTGTACCAGTACTGCCTGTGCTCAACACTATTGTTCTTGTCACCTTAGGGTTATAATTTGTATGTGATATTGTGTTATTTTTAACAGCATCTCAGTCTCTGACACTGTTAACAAGACAAGGGCGCGTTAGTCAAAAGGCAATGACTGATGAGCAGGCGAGGGAGGTGAGATTGCATAAAATAAACATAGCTCATGAATTTTGAGGTGTTTTTAAAAGTACATGAAACTTAACTCGTTATCCTCTTTGGAGTTAATTTGAAAGTGACATGTGCAAGCCTTGCAGGTATAATTTTCTTCTCTTGGTGACGTCACAACTACATCAATAAAAAGCAATATTATTGCTTTTACACTTGTAATGTGAAAAAGCATGGGTCACAGTCAACAAGAAACCAGAAGGTGGTTATGAATTTTTCTAAGGTTTTAACTGCTTGTCTCTAGTGTCTGTTACTGCCATCTGAAGTGGTTCCAGAAGACATCATCAGTATCAAGGGACAACAAGTGGATATAGGTGCTAAAGAGTACACTGCTCCAGTCAACAGCTCGGAATTTCTACCTCAGGAGCTAAAACAACAATGGATTGAATTAAAACAGAGCAAAAAGGATGTGACATTTTTAGATTCATGGGAACTCATTGAAGCAGGAAAGAAAGACAAGGTACATGTTGTACTAAATGTTCCTCTACACCTGGGGGGAGGGGGGGTACTCAACCAATATTTGGGTATAGGTGAACTGCTGAGGGTTTGAAATCCTTACCCTGTTTATGACAAAAAATCTTAAAATACATACCCTGTTTTAGGAAAACACCCTCAATTTTCTTACCCTGTTTTTATAGGACACAGGACGAAATGCACATCGCCCCTCTTTAAAGCCTTTTATGGGCAATAAGTATGATTGCAATAGAGCAAATTCATGTCATAGTCATTGCTTTTGTATACCTGGAGTACAATCAAATTTCATCTAGCAAATCAAATCAATGCCCTGTTTATAATTAAGGCAGACTTGCATGAAATAATATAATGTTTAGGACAGGGTGTTAAAAAATCACACCCTGTCTAGCGGCACATCCCCATATAGCCCATGTAAGGGAGTACACCCCCAGGGCTCTACACTGTAGATTTGCACTGCAGTGCCTGCTGCAGTGCGTTGTGATATCAAGCGAACTTTTGTTATAGTGCTCATTGTATGTCAAATTCCTTGGTGGGAATTCAGTTCTTTTACATGGTAGCATTTGTTTGAAATGCGATGTAATTGTTGGAACTGTTTTTTTTTCTCTAGCCCATCAAGTCTCATAACATTCATCACTTTTGCACTATGCCCTCCGGATTGGAACTTCCTCCACACTTGTGTAGGAAAATGAGAGATGAACACACTCGCGATAAGTTTTACAACATCACAGGGGAGTCAGTGGACAACAACTTTGAGGTCAGTTAAAACAACATTTTTTTATTCACTTGAACTAGCCTCTCAGTTAGACCATTGTCATCATTAATATCATCCCCACTCCTCCGCACATCCACTCTTTACTTACTACTTTACTTAAAGGTTTTGCCAATTCTGGCAGAGTCACCACAACAGCATGTGGTGCCAATTACTGTGGGCCTATAACAGTCCCTCCCCCTACATATATATAAGAGATAAACCACTACACTGTTGATTATATCCCCTACTCTTTATGAACAGTGTGTGGGTTCTTTAACATCCCACAAAATTTATATGTGCAAGGGTTGTGAGACGGGGCCCACGGTTTATCTTTCTTATCCGAGCAGACTAGAAAGTCTTACCATTTTGCAGATATGTCTTTACAAAGGTAGCACTTTCTTCTCAGTTATTTAAAGACCCTGGGTTTTGGTTGTGGCCGGGGTTTGAACCAGCGGCCTCCTTTTCAGCAGACCAGTGCTTATCTAACTGAGCTAACTGGGAGGCGGTTTAATGCATGGACCTACTGCAGCAAGTTCTGTACATTAAAGAGACAGGGAGGCCAGAATGATCATGACGGTATGGTCTGATGAGAAATCTACAACCTTCTGCAGTGTATGACTGAAAATCACGCTGTAACAAATAATTGCAGATCTTGATTCTTGAGTGCATGTTCAACATCTACAATTAATGCTCTCAATTGATTTTGGAGTGGTAATATTCTTCCAGTACAACCCCTGTGCTTGGTTTTCTAACATACAACCCGTTCGGAAGCCGTGCGTTTCACCCGTTTAACGGAAAGCCGTTAGTGTACGTTTTCACGTGAGAGGTCACAAATCTCCAGATAAATAATTTAGTTTTTAATACACAGTAGTTGAGCACCTAATGTCGTACATATTGGAGCTAATATTATTTTACTACTCACTATACTTCATACAATATTGCATTTAACAGCAGATTTTGGATGATGTAAGTGAAGTTACCAAATTTGAGGAAGAGGGAACTAATGAGGAAGACAAGCCAGACAAGGGAAAAACTGAAGAAAGACGCTGGTCAGTTGTGGCACAGAGGATCCTGCAAGAGGCTTTAGTGGGTGGAGACTCAGACGAGACTCTGACTAGGCTGAAGAATGCTTCTGATAAATTGGTGAGTTACCAATAATTAAAAACAAAAAACAACCAGTAGATTTAAAAAAAAAACACTTTGACTCCACACAATGTAACATGCTTTTTATATAACAAATTTATTAGTCTTGCTTTTGAGTCACCTCTGGGTAAAGGGCAATGACTTAATAATTATAATAATTATACAGTCATGTAATATAACACTGACAATTAGTAATCAAGTGTTTTTACTCTTGAAAAAACTTAGCAAAATAACAGCAATGGGACTTTTTGTGAATGTGCTGATCTTGTTTGCATTCCCATTTGCAAGATCTTTAATAAACGTAATTTGATAAGGTAATAACTAACTTGTACAGCTGTAACCAGGTGAAATAGATTCACACCTTTTTTTACCTAAATGAATTTTACCTTGATGGTCAAAAATATTATTGTACTGTATTGTATTTTATTGTATTGTACTATTCTGACTAGTTTTCAGCAGAAGAAGGAGAATCTCTGGATATAGTTGGTGTGAAAGTGGAACTGAAGGATGATACTTCAAGGTAATAATAATAACTACAGTGCACTTTCAAAGCAAAGGTGAGAAAAGCATACATGTTAAGTTTGATGTACTAGGAAAAATATAAACCTTTTAAAAAACCAACTACTTAAAGAATCACAGCTTTCGTGCCTCCAGTCATGCCTAAAAAGAGGGTGAAGGGACCTTTTTTATGTTGGTAGCTTGAAAGAGTCATCACCTGTCTAACTGACCTATTAAGGGCTGACAATGCGGTTATTAATATTCCCCTCTTCTCCCAATCAGTGGTCTTTTTTACTAAAAGCTACATGGAATAATTATTGTACGATGAATCTAACACTTGGTTATGAAAGACTCAGAAGAATTGATTGCAGTTGACAAACTGCTTACTAAATTTTGTTTTGGCTTAAAAAAATGTAAGGATAGCATCCAGTTTCTCTGTGGCACAGATTAACCTCAATTTCATGTTAAAACCATGTGATTTCTTTCATGTTCTCTTGATCTGTTCTCTCCAGAACTATAAATCACCCATGTTTGACATGTGATAACATGCATGAATTGGAATCTTGACCACACTTTATTAATCTGTGATTGATACCTGTACAAATGTAATCATGATAAGTTGGGCCATCTAAAAGGGTTGGAGATTTTGTTCTTTAGGCCCAGCATGCTTGTCTTGAAACCTGCAAACTTTCCAAACTAATTTTTCTACATAATTATTTACCTCTTTACTTTTACATTGTACCTCCTCTCATGGCTATTTCAAGATAGTGAGTAACACTTTTGAATATTTGTTAATGTTATTATTGCTCCCCTCACAGACTCTATTGGACTCCAGCTCCACCCAAAATGAACCTAGCACCAGCCACCATAAAATCGCAGTTGTATCCTGACTATCAGGGTGCATCACTGCTACAGGAGAGTTTAGGGACAGAGCTGAGGACAGTGACAGGGTTAGACAGTGATGACAATGATGAAACAGAAGTTGATTTGGATACTGAAGAAATAAGAGCAAGAAACAGGTGTAGTTCAATACTTACTAACTAAAGGGGAGCGAGGATAGTGCAGTGGTGAGAGCCTTCACCTCCCTCCAATGTGGCCCAGGTTCAAATCCCAGTGTTGACACAATATGTGGGTGAAGTTTGTTGTTGGTTCTCTCCTTTGCCCAACAATATTTTTCTCATGGTACTCTGGTTTTCTCCTCTCCTCAAAAAGCAAAATTTCCAAATTCCAGAGGTAACTGACGTGTTACTTTCTCTTTAGAACATTAAGTCGCACACATGGATCTATGAATGATCTTACCAAGCTTAAAGCAGAACTAGAGGGAATGACACGACCAAAAACAGATACAGGAGGGTTGCTACATGTAGAGAGAGATCAACCAAATGAGGGTGAAGGTAAGCTTATGGCAATGGACTTGTCACAGGAAATATGTACCTCTGGCATCAAGGGTTTCTAGGTGATAACTACAGAACTAGAGGGAGTTGGTAAGACCAAAAATAGATGCAGACGGGGTGGTGCAGGGAGAACAAGCAGAAGAGGGTGAAGGTAAGCTTATGGCAATGGACTTGTCACAGGAAATGTCCATGTACCCCTGGCATCATGAGTTTCCGGTTGTTAACTATAGAACTAGAGGGAGTGGTAAGACCAAAAATAGATACAGACGGGCTGGTGCAGGGGGAACAAGCAGATGAGGGTGAAGTTAAGATTACAATGATGGACTTAAATGTCACAGAAAATGTTCATGCATATGTACTCTGCCATGAAGGGTTTTTGGGTATTACCTGTAGCCTACTCAACATTCCAGGTTCCATTCTCGTTTTACATGTCTCTTTCAAAGAGTTTATGATGGAAAAATTACCATGCACCGTGAATCAGTTAATCGGCAGTTTTGGCATAAATTATCGACGATCCGTCCTGCGCAAAAACAAAAGGATAAAATCCCTTTTTGATATTTTATGATCAGCTGTTCTGTACTACTTCTCCTGCACCACTCCAACAAGAAATATTTAGTAACAAGACTGAGAATTTCAATACAGATACTGAGGAGTAAAGTGCATTTGCCTCTTTTTATATTTCGAAGTGCCAAGCCGATTTGTGTCTGTACTTGACAAGAGGAGGCAGGAGAATAAACAACATGATGAGAATGTGATAGAAGGAAAAGACAATGAAGAAAGCGAAGTCGATGAGGAACCTGCTGACTTGAAAGAACGGGAAAAAGGGTTGTCTATCTTCAGGTAAAGTTCTACACATGAGAAGTACCATAGGTGTGCCCCAGACAAATTGGCTTTTGAACCACAGGAACGCCAGCCAGCTTTTTCACTTTACCCATATAGATATGACTCCATCAAAAGATTTCAACACCCAGGGGTACATGTATGTTACATTACTCAAGTTTAAGGTAAAAGCAATGTCACCTGCTTTCTCAAGGGGCAAACAAGTGATAATAGCTGCCAATGCAAGAAATTGCGGTCGAGTTTGTTTATTCTAGTCAACCGAAAATTAAGAACAATTTTTCCCTTAAAGGAGATAATGGTAAATTATGAGTGGAAGTGATCATTGTTTCTTTTCTGGATGCAGCAACGACCTTAGATGTCCTCACGGCAAGCAATACTGACGTAAAACTTCGCGAAACTCGAACTGTACTATAATCGTCGTCTCATTTTGAGAGAATTTAAAAAACTTGACCGCGATTACTCGTTATTTTATCATTTGCCAAATTTTATCAGTGAATCCCAAAGTGGGCACAAAGATGGTAGGTAACGTGAATAACGTCTCTTCAGGGTTTTCAGCAAGAATTCTAGTAGCAGGAGTAAGGTGTAATGTTACAGGAGAATACTTTGAAAAAGGCTCCATGTCGAAATAAAAAAAATAGCCATAGGCTACCTAACATTAGCTGGAGATTTCTGTATAGTAAACGGAAAATTCTCTGATCTTTGATGGCTAATAAATACCCCGCTATTGGTATACCTTAGGCTTCGTGCAAACGGACGCAACAACTCCCAACATTGTGGCGCCAACAAAGTTGGGAGTTGTTACGTGCGTGTTGGCAGTGGTGTGCAAACGGATGCAACGACTCCCAACAATGTTGGGACCTGTAGTGCATCGTGGGAAGGATACAACCCATAAGTCTTTGTAAACCATGCGTAATGAGCGTGCGTGGCCCCAACAATTTTGGAAGGGCTGTGCAAACGGATCCAACATTGTTGCGCTACACTTCGGCGATCACGGAACGTAAGAAATGTTGGGAGTTGTTGGGTGAAAAGTTTGACCAGTTTCAAACTTTGCGCAACAACACGCAACAACATCCAACAACATGCAATAGGGTGTGCAAACGGACGCAACATGTAACATCCAACAATGTCGGGAGTTGTTGGCCAACAATGTTGCGTCCGTTTGCACTGGGCTTTATTGGGAGAAACAGTGAGACAAAAATTTGTGTCTTATGAAGACCACAAAGGCATTACATAATTATCTGGCTCATCTCCTTGTGTAAGGGAGACCTACATGTAGAAATCTAGGAGGCTTGTCGAATCCATTAAAAGCCTTGAAAAATAATATTATTACATATTATTGCTGCCGACATTTTGTCTCAAGAGTTTTGCAATGCTTTGGGCCCAGTTCCCGTGATCTTCACAGTCAACGTGTCTGAACTTATCTGCTTGGTTTAATTTCATGGAATGTTGGCAATTCAACATTGCTTTGGAGACGTTAAATTAAACGACGAGTTGTGTTTAACCATTTTTGAATATTATTTTCTCCCCATTTCTCTCATTTCTTCCTCCTGCTGTAGGACTCGCACCTCCTGCCCTTTCTTCTCCTGCCCCCTATTCTCCGGGACTGTCCAGCTTCTACCCCCTGTCCTCCCCCACATAACAATGGACAGTCCAGATCACTCAGCTAGTAGTGTGCTGGTCTCATGTCACAGTTTCTTGAATGTGATTTTGTGCATTTTAAGCTTCGTGCAAACGGACGCAACAAAGTTGGCCAACAACTCCCAACATTGTTGGATGTTACATGCTGCTTCCGTTTGCACACCCCGTTGCATGTTGTTGGACGATGCTGCGCAAAGTTTGAAACTGGTCAAACTTTTAGCCCCGTTCAAATGGACGCAACATTATTCACGTAGCTTTAAACTGTGATATTGGACTTATAAAAATATGTCACCCTGACACAGTTTTTTGGTAAATTTTTGCCCCACTGTCTAAAGGTTATGTATAACTTTTATGCACGTTTTTGTGATTGTGGTCATATTTGTCTTGTAGATCGGTATCGCACCCTCTCTTATCATTTGATAAGGAGACTCTCACGGTTTCTGCAGATTATGATATCAGTATGGATGAGGTAATGTAAGCGTATCGGTAATACCCCCTTTGACAATGTAGCAGCTCTCGCCTCATCATTTAGCCCGGGTACCCCGTCACCTCTAAAAGATGCACTAAATTTCGCCTGACACCTTTATAAGGCGGGACAGTGGAGCTAGTTCTGAGTGTGCTCAGCTTAGGGATAATCGGATTTCACACAAAATTTTCTACCACACAACTGCCTATTGTAGATGCCAGAAATCGTCTGCTACCACACGCCAAGTTACATTAGACTCCAATGCAAATTGTGGTTAATTTGCTCCTTGTCTTTTTTCCCCTCAGTTGAATTTCCAACGTGATCAGATTGCTGCAATCAAAGATAAGCAAGTGGGAAAAGAAGAACAGGAAGATTGCGAACGCCAGGACAATTCGTTTTCAGGACATGTGGCAGCGACATCCCAGGTGCACAGTACTATTGCAGGTATGACAGGGCCGACGCATAATGATTGGGTTGACAAACTGTAGGTCTTAACTGTGGTAAGTTTGAATTAATAGTCCTGTTAAGTTTCTAATTTGTCGCGGCCGCTGAAGACTCATTTATCCAAGGTAAGCCTCCACCTAAAGTAAAATATTCACAAATTCCGGCGAGAAGGTGCCTGAATTTGAGTTTAAAACAATAGACACAATTTTACACAGGTCTTCTTCTGACTGGAATTTGCGATTACTTTTACCTTAGGTCGAGGCTAACCCTGTATAAATGAGTCTTCAGTGCTTCTATTCAGCAGCTGCGACGAATTCGAAACTGGACTATTGCCTCACTCACACGTGAAACGTCTCTCTTTTTTGAATCCACACAAGATTTTCAAGCACGAACGTATGATTATGATACTGATGAGGGTTGGACAGACGCTGGAGAAAGTATGTCAATACAAACAGGCACAACAGGATTGACAAGTTCTAGGTGAGTGTCCTTGAGTTGAATGGTTCTTTAGCATAGTGGACCTACAAACCCTGGGGGAAGGGGTACTCAAAAAAGTTTTATACGGGAAGGTTCCGCCCCGAGGTCCAACCCCTTACCCTTTTTATAACCCATTTTTGGCAGAAAAGGTACCCCTTTCATGTACCTTCTATTGACAAATGGTACGTCTTTTACATTCCTAGTTTAGAACTTGGCACCCCTTTTAGAGTGGTTTTCGTTTGAGTGTCGTAAAACCAAAACCAAAGTAATTACTCTGGCCAATCACGTAGGACACAGACAATACATTGAACCAATCAAAACTCGAAGTAATTACATGTGGCTGACGCAAAGCGCGGGAAAATGCATGCGAGTGCGTCACAATTGGCTTTGGTTTTACTTCTGATTGGATGAAAAGGTGGCGCGAATCTTTTAAGCCAATCGCATCGTGTAGAAAGTGCAAAACCAATTACTTTTCGACACTCAAATGAAAACCGCTCTAATATCTGTAAATTCACTGGCTTTCGAATATAAATGAATCACAAAACCAGAGCGTTTTTTCGACTCTTTTACAGGCATAAAATAGAATTGTTAGCCCTTTTAGGACATTTTACAGACCGAAATGAGAGATTTCCCTACCACTTCTTATACTTCAACTATCATATACCTCTGCCTAAAGCCTAAATAAGGTACCCCTTTCGGAAAGAGCCTCTTCGTATAGGCCATTATAGAGAGTAACTCCCTACCACTTCTTATACTTCAACTATCATATACCTCTGCCTAAAGCCTAAATAAGGTACCCCTTTCGGAAAGAGCCTCTTCGTATAGGCCATTATAGAGAGTAACTCCCTACCACTTCTTATACTTCAACTATCATATACCTCTGCCTAAAGCCTAAATAAGGTACCCCTTTCGGAAAGAGCCTCTTCGTATAGGCCATTATAGAGAGTAACTCCCTACCACTTCTTATACTTCAACTATCATATACCTCTGCCTAAAGCCTAAATAAGGTACCCCTTTCGGAAAGAGCCTCTTCGTATAGGCCATTATAGAGAGTAACTCCCTACCACTTCTTATACTTCAACTATCATATACCTCTGCCTAAAGCCTAAATAAGGTACCCCTTTCGGAAAGAGCCTCTTCGTATAGGCCATTATAGAGAGTAACTCCCTACCACTTCTTATACTTCAACTATCATATACCTCTGCCTAAAGCCTAAATAAGGTACCCCTTTCGGAAAGAGCCTCTTCGTATAGGCCATTATAGAGAGTAACTCCCCCGCAGGCCTACAAATCTCTAGGATAAGTCGTAAGACTTTTTCCTTGTGAGATGAATAGTTCCTTGAGTTCACATGTTAGGCTAAAAGCAGTAAGAGAGCCTTTTAGTCCCCATAGTAAGTAGCAAGTAAGATTCTTTCCTTGTGAGGTTAGTAATTCGTTGAACATTGGCCAATGAATCCCTAAGGAAACAACGAGTTACTTACTTTACGTAACTTACATTTCGGACATCGAAAATCTGGTGATTTTCACTGTGAAGATATGTATATATTTTTTATACTGACCAGTTGTGGAGATGTGGTGGCCTAGTAGTTTACCTGCTGAACAGGGTATTGTTTTTCGGGTCTGGAACAGGGTGTCATTTTGGACTGAACCCACAATTGCCTTTTCAAAAGCTCTAATTCCATGATGTTCATTTGAAAAGTGCTTAATTCTGTATCATGCCTAACAAAATGAATCAGGGTCATAAAATAAGGTGTTTTGTCTTAAACCCGGAAGGGAAATGAGCTATTTTTGTCTCAAACGGGTTCATGGTTTGAAGGCATCGGTGGCACCTCTGTACCCAAACTTGCCTTGAATGCCCTCCTGGGCTCCGGTCATGTGAGCCACAAGCTCTATGTACCCCTATTCTTATTTTTTTACCGATATTGACCAATCATTATTGGTTGTTACTCTTATTGACCTACATTTAGGAAACCTCATCACCGGAAAATGAAGAGAAAAACGAAAAAACAACTGGTACGTACACGGAAACAGTTGCTGTTACAAAAATTGAGAATGTCATGTTTTATTTCGCTTGTTGAGTTTGTTATGTTTTGACTTTTTGTATGTGACAGGAAAGAGAGCAGGAGATAAGAGAATTCTTAAACCAACCAGCAAACAAGATCTCAAGGTTTGATTTCTTGCTTAGCTTAGTTGAATTAATGCTCTAATGGTCATGCGATGGATGATGCAGGCTGACATGGGGGAGTGCTGTGTATGGCTGTTGGCCAGTCAGCCCTCGTCTGCCAATGTCCGTACTGTATATACCTGAATAAAGGTTGCTTTGGGCATTGGGCTTTGCGCACTGGTAAGTTATTGTTTGCCATTCACTCAAGCAAATCATTGCAGTGAGTTTCGCATGCCCGAACACTTTGTTGCCAATGACCAATTACCAAAGCAACCTTTAACAGATCAGGCATATACTGTAATGGGTGCAGACCCTGAGATAAAGGGGTGGGGTGGGGGGCGTCTCAAAAAAAATTTTCTCGGCCCTTTGGGGGTTGGGGGCGGGCCCCTCCCCTGGAACCTTCGGGCCTCAGTTTGGTCTAAAAATAAGGGGGGTGGCCCCTCCTCTGGATCCACCACTGTACTATAGAACTGTTCTGAGCGCGCTAGTGCTTCTTTAGTGGCTATCTCTGGTATCAATATTAAATTCCGTCTCGTAAAACTGTCCGACAGTGTAGTCCAACACAACACCGACTCGGTTTGCAACTCGAAATAGCCAATTTTGGGGGGTAAATTTCGTCCAGAACAGGGACTAGTCAACCAAGCAACTTCATCTTTTGTTAACTGTACGATGGAAACTGTACCAAAACAATTTTGGCCGCCTGTCTTTTTCTTTGGTCCGGAAATGTGTGATACTAAGCCAAAACATCCAGTTATTGCAAAAGATGTAACAGCACACCCTAAAAAGAAAGTGTCCCTTATTCAAGACTCTTTTAAGCTAAATTCGAAGTTTGTGGTCCTTGCTCGAATCAACATTGTCCAAAGAAATTTGTGTCAATTGAATAGTGTTACTGTCTATTCAGGAGGCGTATATTAGTATGTGTAATCAACTAGTGACGAGTGAAATTAGCGAATAATTTCACGGGCTCGGGAAATTATAAGGATTTGGACAAAACGCAAGTGAAATTATTCCCTAATAATTCCCGAGTATACCATTCCCTATTCCCGAGTATACCATTTGATTACCTATTAATATCATGGGTGACGAATTACCTTAGCAATCGAGGATTTTTGAATTGTTTATGTATCGACTTGGATCGTATCGATCGATCGTGAACTCCACGTTTAGAGCTGAAATTTGGCTTAAGTTTTCGGAATTTTTCGACAACATACCTCTAGGAATCCTTCTTGATGTGCTCTTTCGTGTGTTCAGGTTTCTAAAGCGTCTTTTTATGCCCTGACATCTTCATTCATGACATTTTAAAACTTCGTCGCCATCTTGAAACGGACTACGTGCGGCAGGTTGCCATGGCAATTTAGTAATTTCACATGTGAAACAAGACGCTGTGTGGGCGTATATTTGGGCGTGGTCGTACTACGGGTATGATACTTCGATCATGCCTTATTGCAGCTAAAGAACTGTCATCATATCTTACCAGAGAAGACAAATCCTTTACTCCACTTGTTTGCTGAACCACACAGCTTATACAGTATGTCCCAATCCACAACAAAAATAGTGTCATTTCACGACAATGTTTGAAAATATGCACATCTTCAATGCAGACATGCTTGGAGCCAAATTGCAACATAGGACATAAGTGGTTCCATCCTTATTCTTCACAAAAAATTAACGTAGAAAAGATGAGGTTCAAAGGTGGCAATATGTACACCTTTAAGTTCATATATATCCTCATTCCTATGTAGAGTCTAACAATATTGTACTAATTTATGCATGGATGGTATTTCCAACAATACACATGTCCCTTCACTGTGACTGTTATGATATATATCTCTAGCATGAGAATCAAATACATTATACCCCCCAGCCTCAGTGCTGTAGATACCAACACCAATAATTGCCACCGTTAAAATGAATGAGTTGTTGTTCAGTGCCAAGAGTGTTTGAAATGCTGTAACCTGTGAGTGGCATATAAAGTAGTGATGGATGTTACAAGTATAACTGTCACTGTATTCAAGGTGGAAAAATTGCTCAAACACTGTAACCATTCCTGGCAATTCTGTTAACATTGACATAGATTATCTTGCAAGCAGTGACAGACAAGAATATAATCGAATACCAACAATCATTATTTGAGTCATATCATCAACTGAAGTCATCTTTGTTATCTTACTGTAAATTAAAGCGCACGGACTCATTGCGACACATCGTTGTCCACCATTTTCCCCAAATCCTGTAACATTTCCTTGACAGTATGGAGCATTAATTACTTTTGTACCATCTACATAAACTGAAGGTCCTGGATTCTTCTCTATATCACTACAAAGCTTAAATTGGCCAAAATTAACCCGGTGATTCCAACTGTTTTAAGCACCATGAAATGGATAATTACATGTACAGAGGGGCAATTTCTTACTTAGAAGCCTATTTGGATATCTCATTCCACCTAAATCGCCAGTGCTCTGATGCGGACGACAGATACACCTTCCCTCGTTTAAGAACTAGTTTTGGAGTTGCCCCTTAAGTAAAACCTCACACTGTTACTGTTACTTCTGTGCCTGTTTAAGTGTAAACCTTTTCTACTTTTAACATAACAATGAATTTCGGACGACAATGGTGTATTTTTCCGAATACTCTTCCATATAAAAGGTGTCACTTTCCGTGTTTTCTGTAACAAAAGATTTTAATTTGTTCATGGGTAGTCTGCTGGGGGCATGACGGTAACCGGTCATTTTGTTCCATGGACAGATCGTTGACAGCGTTCCAAGTCAGATCGTTCCAATCAATAGTCAGATCGTTCCATGAAATAGTCAGTTCGTTCCACATATGAAAAGTCAAGTAAATCTTTCTAAATTTGTTGAGTGAACTTTATCGAGAAGAAAAAGGTTTCGTTCATACCACAAGCTGATAAAATGATAATCGATCCAAAGTCGATTCGATCCATCCTAAAATCGTTTGAAAACAAACAAGAGACGATTTCAACCAGCCACGGGCTTTAACATTTAAACCGCTGCTTTGAGAGTTTTGAGCTAGAATCGATCGATAGTTTTGAAAGATATAGCACAACAAGTAAAAGCTATGCCGCTCTGAAGGTACAGTATTTCGAAGCGCTTGTAACCTAAATATTTCTTTGCAGCGGCCGATTTATGCAAATTTTGAAAACAACGCGAGTTTCGAATTACAATCTCGATTTTATGGTAATTTATTATGCCGAAAATATAATGGACTAACCTGGTTTAAACCAATGAAATTGTAAGTTCTGTTATAAATAAATTTCCCACGACGAGATCTCAATTCAACTTCTTTTATTTCCTCCACAACACAATTTTCCTTCTGTACAACTAGCTCATTACCTTCTCTTGTCGTCACCTCGCTGCCATCAAAACACTAACACAAAACTTGCTGATAATGCAAAATCCCGACGCACAGCATCGTATGAAAAATCACAACACGCAATACAAGAACAAGTACATTAACCGTCACCCTGCTAAACAAAATTGAAATAATAAAAAGAATTGTTGCAGTTATCACAGTAGTTCCAAAGGAAGCCTCAGTCCCTTTTGGTTTCAATTGTTGACAATCGTCTCTTCCTTCATCGGAACAGATTTTTATCACAGGCAACTCGCTGTGTTCCGCAATGCAAAAATCAAAATCACTATTGTCACACTGATAACCAGCTACACAAATCTTGCGACTCTCAAACTTGTTCAACATTCCTCTATTCAAACTCTTATCCATTTTACACGTACACTCCTGATACTCCGATTTGTTATTACGTCTATGGGGTCCATGAGTCTTTGATGTCATTGAATGTCTTGATAATTTCCTTTGTTTTTCTTTGAGTTTGCGGACCAGCCCATTCCGAAAACACTCAGTGTTATTTTTTTAGTGTGGGCTTACCGCGAACAGTGTGTGCATTTGTAAGTTTAACCCGGGATAACACGATTGAACAATATATTAACACGTTCCTCGAAACGCCGCGGCCAAATGTTATCCAAACTGCTTCTCACTGTTGCTTCGAAAAATTTCGGATCAAACGATATCCAAATCGTCCCTCATTGGATTATCCACTCGGCCTAACAAAATCGACCAATCACAAAAAATGGACATAAAATAAAGAAAACAGCAAATTCAGATGACCTCTTAGGAAACATGCAATTAAAACTGTATTTCTATGATTGGTGCATTTCGATCCTCTCGTCAAAAGAATGACAGACGTCAATCATCTTAGCGGACCTCTTAGGGAACGAAAGTTTTCTTCCATGGGTTCAAAAGGTCATTGTTTATGATTTGTGATTGGTGGATTTCGATCCGTTTTTTGTGTTTCTGTGTTTCAAGGTTTGTTGCTTGTGATATTATTGTGACCAAAACTCGACATTAATATTCCAAATATTTTTGATAGATTTCATCCCTGGACTTCAGACTTCCAAATTTCGATGAGGCAAAAATACTGAAGAGTCAGATTAACCTTTGAGATCGTAAAAGTGCGAGTAAGTGCCGTGTGCAAGCAGAGCTTTCTTTCCCACCTCTTACCTTGTACAAGAAGTTCGCATGGCAGACATTCGCCTCGCTTCGCTTCGCTTGTTTACTTGCCTTGTTTACGTTAGCACGTATTGCGTGCCTATTGCACATTTGCGTCAAAACAAGCCGTTTCCATTACTTTATTTGGGCCACGCCCAAATAATTACAAATTAACGCTGAAATTTCGCGCCAAAATTAAGGAGTAGTTCGTCACCTATGATATTACAGCTGAAATTACCAGGAAACTGAACTTCTGATTTACATGTACTGTTCCGGGGAAAAAGGGCGTATGCAACAGTTTTTGCCTCTAAAACCAAATTGCTTGATCTAAGTTGACCAAGTGAAGAATCCCCCGATATAAACGGGATGATTTGCTTGCTGTCAAATGACCATGTGCAACAACACGCACACAGGTGCAATGATTTACACTTGTTCCTCACTATACACTTACATGTAGCACTTATTCTTACTGCAAATGGACTTCGGGATTTGAACTATTAGGATTTTGAATATTAAGACAAGTTAATGATCTGATTTTCAAGTTACTTACTATATTAGTAGTAGGCTTGCTCTCCATACACGTTGTTCAAGTGGTCTGTAAGCAAGATTGTACATACATGTTTCTCATCTTGTGGAGGGTAGTGTACGAGCAGGCTCTCTTATGCGAGTTTGGGAAAAATTTTGGCGGCCGATCTGCCAGCGCCAGGGGAATAGTGGCGCCTCCGCCGCCAAAGTTTTCCTCGAACTCGCACAACGAATGACATGTGAAAGGAAGCTGACGTTACCAGTGTTCAATTGAAGAATGATCCTCGCAGTTGTGAACTTAATTTATGCAATTGCGTAAGAAGCGTGAAAAAATTCAGGACATCAACGGTATTTGAACCCGTGACTTCGCGATGCCAGTGCGACCGGTCACATTTCCAGTGGTGTTGCTTTGCAGATGTGTTTCTTTTGCTGATATGAGAAACTTGCGGGAACAAATGTCTTCCCAGAGGATGACAAGTGCCAGTGCAAGGTAAGCTTGTAACTCAACTTGGACCTCGATTCAACCCTTGTCGCCCATGTTAGGTCTTGTTTAAATAATCATCGCACCAATAAATCGTAATGTATCCACCGCAAGATAGATATTGTTCTATCTCTTCATAATCGTGGTTCTGAAGGAATAAATCATTAGGGGTGAACTGTGCGTGAGCTGTCTCTTACTTTTCCTTCCAATACCGCAGTGCATAGTAGCCTGGAGTTCGATCCTTTACCCCAAAAAATCACATATATGCATCACTATGCACTAACCCTGAGGGGATAGTTGTTTTAGGGTTAGGGTTAGAGAGGCATTGACAACGGGTGTGTTTTCGACTTTCAAAAAGCCTTTGACAGAGTAAATCACCAACTTCTCTTAAAATGAATTGCCCGGGTATGGCATCGAAAACCATAAACTGAGGTGGTTTGAGAACTATCTTACGAATCGATATCAATCTGTTGTCTACGGAAGCGTACAGTTTGCATCTCAGCAGGTAAAGTCTGGCGTACCCCAAGGGTCCATACTAATTACTTGTTCCCATTTTGTTGTGTATAGGCTTAGCATCGATTTTCCTGCTAGTAACTCAAGTGGTCAGAGCTTCTGACTTGTTTTTATAAGGTTGTGGTTAAATTCGTATTGCTAGACATAAATGACGGAGCTAAAAAGTAACATAACATGTTTTTTACTTTGTTAAAGCGCGTAATAGTGCTGAAATTACTACTTTATGTACGCATGTGCATTTCTCTCTTAGGTCCGAGTTAACCAGAGTAAACAGTGAACCAATAATCTTTGACCACGAAAGACTCTTTGAAAACGAATTTACAAGGTATGTCAATGAGTATTCACCTTCATCTGGCATTTTACGAACGCTCAATAGTTCTTGAGTCCAAGGGGACTTTTTGGTTTATATCGATGGACCGTCACACCCAGTTAGTGCATAGTTCTCGTGTTCCAATCCAATCAGGCCCAGAAGGTCCTACTTAATACTTAGTCGTCTTATCTTGTAAGAAACGTGTTGTCAAAAAATCTTGGAAAATTAGATGATGATACATAATTTTGTTGCCGTTGTTGTAAATACTTGAAGGAAGAAGGATAATCGAGTCTGACCAACATGAATAAGACAGTCTATGTTTAAGGGAGAATAAGAGGTGTTGAATTTGTAGCCCTGAATCTTAAGATTAAGAATTCTTGAACGCGAAGGACCGTTGATGTATCTGTATTTATCTTTAGCGAAGACGAGGTATCTTTTGATTCAGTGCGTGAGCGTTTTTGGTATGTTTGGTTTGATGACGTGTATCCGCCAACACCAGCAGTTCCAGAAATCAAATGTAAGTGACGTGGTACAATGAAACCCCGTCAGTAAGAACCTGCATTTTCCCAAGTTAGCTTAAACAGGTTGTTACATAAATGGTAATAAGCACAAATTTTGGCTATTTAGGTTCTTAAATAGGTTCTTATCTTGTAAAGAAAAAAAGTACATTGTACATAAGAGTATCTAGTGGAATTCAGATTATTCCTCATATAAAATCTGCATCGTAAATTAGTGTTGCACTTGGAGTGATTCGGCACCTATGTCTCCAAAGAGGATTCTAAATGATAGCCTGTGTACGGACCCCCCCCCCCACCCCTCAGGAAAAATCGGAGAAGGGGAAGGGGGTCTGTACACAGGCTATCTGAATGACGATTTGTCTTGTTTGCCCCAGCGTACACAATGTTTTTATAGATTTTAGAAAATGAGAACCTGTTTCAAATTTTAGGCTAAACAGGTTCTTATATAGAAGGGTCTAACTGCCCGGCAAATTTTACCCTAACAGGTTCTTAAAAACTGAACCAGGTTCTTACTTGCGGGTTTTCACTGTTTTGCAAAAATCATGTTAGAAATATGTCCTCGGGGACTTGAAGGGTATTCCTGTGATCGGAGATTGAACCAAAATATAGTGCGGGATTTAGGAAACATCAACGGGATACGGGTTTGACTGTCACCGGGGAGCGGGATTCGCCAAAATTTGGGCACGGTTTCGGTACTGGGAAAGAGAACGATATTCGGGATAGTAATGACAGAAGTTTAGGTTGCGGGATTCTCGTGAAAAGAAGCTTTAATGCGGGATCAGACCCCCCTTTCGAGACAATATTTTTCTCAGTAACTGTGTTTTCCAGTTGGTCAGGATTTAATGGAGCCGAAACCAAACGAACGGTTACAACGACAGTTAGATATTTGTAGTAGCAACAATCGTTTACAGTCTGTCTCCTTTTATTATCATGCCAAGGCACAATAATAATGGTTTTGGTTTTATTAATGAAGCACGAGATTGTGAGCACATTACGAAGCACAAACTTTCCTTCGATTCTCGTTTGAAAGTGGCCATGACTGTTTCAGTGTGCGTGTAAGTCTTCTATAATTGTAGGTTTAAGACGCGCTAATATTTTCAGGTTTTGCTGACCGTGAGAAACGGGTTGAAGACCAATGTTTACTAGTATAAGTGTATTTAATACAATGCTGTTTTCATTTGCATTTAGTTGACCTTCAAAGCTTAAGCTCACCTGGACCACAGACGCAGAGGTAAGGGCGAAACAGTTGATTTCCTTGTAATGAAGTATTTTGTAATAGGCCACTTCCTAGTTCCAAAAACCCTCACTTCAAAAGGAGGTCAAGTGCACAACCTTTCTTGTGAAAATGAGTTTTATTTGCATGAGAATGAAAAACATTCCATATCAAAGGCTGAGCACCTAACCTCCTTTTAATACAGAGGCCAGAGGGAACTCGGAAATGGCTTATTTCCTACTTCGGAAACTCCAGAGAGAATGGGCACAAGCTTTGGGTGCAATGATTTCTGGGATCGTTTGGGTGGACAAGCGTTAGTTATGATTGGTCGATAGTATCCAAGGCAACCATTAACCAATCATAAGGAACACTTGTGCACCAGCCAACCTCGTTTCCAGGTTCTCTCTCCTACCCTATCTCTCACGCCCCGTAGGGACGGGTAGGAGAGAACCCTGGGAGCGAGGTTGGTGCACCAGCATGCATATTCTCCACAGTATTCTCCATGCTTTCTAATTTCACTGATGAGGAGAATTCGTTTCATGGACAAGACCTCTTTCACTTTTTGATCATTTCCCTTTTTCTCGTAACCTTCATGATTGATCTAGTAGTGTACTATGAGAAGAAATGTATACTATACATTACGGGTAAGAGTCCAGTGGTGCATACCATTTACAGGAACCACCCAGGTGAAAATGTTTTGCATAAACTAAAACTTTAAAATTTGACGAGGTGCGAGAACGACCCGCTAAAAATTATATCTACTGAATCAAGTGAACAGGCTAAAAAGAGTGGAAAAACTGCGTGGCCTCAAATCACAGCCCATATTTTCCGAAGCTTCCCAAACGGAAAGGCGTTGACCATTTGATTTTCCAACCGAAATTTTTTGTTTTCCCATGTAAATGGTAACTATATACCCCAGGCTGGAGACAAACCACAGCCCAGTTGTTCGAATGCCATTTAGTGCTAATCCTGGGTTAAATTTGTTCAAAAGCATTTTCTCGGATAATTGTCTCAATTTTTCTTAGAACATCCAATCATCAAATTGTGGACAAAAAGAATAAAACTGAATTTGTGTCTTAAGCTTTCATATCTAAATTCAAATTTCGCACTTACCCTGGGTTGTCTTAAGCCAGCTCACGGGGCCCAGAGGAGTTATTAGTGACCTTGATTGCAGTTAAGTTGTTTTTTGTAGAATGGAATATGAACGTGACCGACCAAACCATCATGCGACCGTGTACCAAACCAGGTAAAATGTTATCCAGTGTTCTGGAAAACCGCTGAAGGTGTGACACCACGAATGAATAACAGTGACTATAATGTCGTAAAGAGATCTTGTCTCGTTTTCTTCTCGGTACTTCGTTCCTCTTTCCGAGGGCATCCGGGTGACGTTTGTTTTCCTTTCCACCTAGCATTGGATAATATTTTAGCAGGTTTGTAACACGATTGCATGATCGTTTAATCGCTCAAGTTCATATTCGTTTCTTCAGTAAACAAAGGCGATTCGCACCTCATCTGCAATCAAGGTCACAAATAACTCCTCCGCGTCCTCCCGCCCAGGTTTGAACAACCCGACCCTGGGCTAACTGCAGACAGAGCATTTGAGTAATCAGTAGTTGGTAACTACCCCTGGATTAGCTCTAATCGTCATTCGAACAACTCGGCCAAGTTGACTGTTTAACTATTTGACTAGCTGACTTCTTAACCGTAGATTTGTACCCTGTGCAACTGAGTTGATATCACTCCGCCGTGCTGCCTCTGTGCTGCTGGCTACTAGACAGACTTAAAAGTCGAAGCTACACCGTATATTATTAAATTTCTGCTTCATCGATTCGCTCCAAGAGAGGTAATCCAAGAGAGTCTTTGATTCTGGACTCCACGCTGAAAATTCCTGATTCCAGGTGCTGGATTTCTGATTCCTTGCCAGTGGAACTGGGATTCCGGATTTCAATTGTTAGCCGGGATTCTGGATTCCTTAAACTGAATTCTGGATTCAAAAGCGCAGGATTCCGGGATCTGGATTGCCTTTCATGTGGCAAATCGACAGTAGGACTGGAAGAGTTAAACGTTGCGGGCCGTGTTAGATGATGTTGTGCTTTTCTTTCTTTCAGCAAGACAACTGAAGTTGTTATAAACAACGATATATTGGAAGACATCCAAGTTATTGAACCTCAGATAAGAAGTTCAGACCAACAACTATACGAGGTAATAAATCAAGTGTCCATATAAACCGCGGTTCCTTTTCGCCTAAAGACACACAGTTTAAAGTAATGTCCTTCCATGTAAGGCAATCTAATACAATCTTGGATTCTGGATAATTGGCATCCGGATTCCGGATTTCTTGTGCTGAATTACGGATTCCAAAGCCCAGGATTCCAAAAGCAAAAATTTCCTTTATTCGATAATCCCGATTACCTTACATGGGGCGAGTGGTGACGAACCTTTCAACCTTTGTTGGCCCAGATGTTGTTCTTCTAAACTCATGTAGTTAATCAATAGTTGCTATTTGTTGAACGGATTACAGCCGATCTCTACTCTCGTTAAACAATGTTAAACAACGTTGAACATTTTCAATGGCCTGTTTCAACATTCATCATGGCTGGACCCACTGCTCATTATAATATTGACAAGACCCGCCGGTTTTTGTTAATCAACTACTTCTAGAGGGTACAAATCGTAAGAATAATGCTGCGAGCAGTAAAACATAACCTGAGAATTGTGTAAAAGAGTTAGTGCGCTGTTCGCCTGAGGGCTCGCAGCGATTAATAGGGAGATTAAGATTCACGTTTACGGCATACGGCAAACGGCAAACGTCAGTTGAAAATTTCTCAGAATAGAAAATAAGCAGATAAAAACAGTCCAGAACGATTCTTGTGGACAAAACTGTCATAAAACTACTTATTTTTGTGTAGAAGCAATAAACAGTAAACGAAAAACAAGGGGAAAACTTGGTCACGTGGTACAAATTCACGTTTGCCGTTTGGCGTAAACGTGAATCTTAATCTCTCTAATATTGAACCGTTTGTCATTTGCTTTATTTGCAAAGTCACGCTGACGGTGTTGATTTTGGCATGAACCGACAGGATCTGTAAATCTGATGGTATTGTCCCTACTACCATAGCTTACTACTCATTCAGTTCCATCTAGAGTTCTCTCTTCCCTTATCCTACAGGCACTTCAGGAAGAAGCTGATCGACTTACAGAGTTGATAGAGACTCCACAAGGGACTGAATCAGCCGCCATCTATTTATGTCGAAGAGGCGCTGTGTTCCGGAAGGTATAGCACAACTTATCGTGGCGATGTTTCTGGATCATCATGTCCACCCTGTTTTCCCCTGGTTTTTTTTCGTTATAATTTAATTTTTAAGGGGTATTTAGTTGAGTAATTACACAGTTACTTTAGTGTTGCATTGCTGGGCTTTATAACTGACTGATAAATCTCTTATCACTTACTCAACCAGTCAAGAGTGAGATTAAGATCACCCCTGATTTGCCTCCACTTTCGTTTTTCTTGCGCTTTACGCTGTAGCCTCCCAGTCTGCGTGGGAGACAAATCGTAACATTATGATCCAGGCCTATTTTGGAAAGATTTATTTAAAGTCATCGCAGCATAATCGTGCTTATATCTCCACGCCAATTTGCGCAGACAGGCTAATTTTCTGCAGGTGAACATATTTCAGTCATCTTCTTCTTTCTGGACTTGCCAGCCTATACCATAATCTAACAAATTAAGTTTTTATGATGTCATCACTTCTTGATTTACACTTTTGACTTAACATTTAACTACCTGTCGTTCTGGCCCTGGTTGTTCAAACGTTGGATAGCGCTGTCCACCGGATAAATCACTATCCAGCGGATAAGTATTACGGAAATCAATTACGCTATCCGCTGGATAGTGATTTATCCGGTGGACAGCGCTATCCGACGTTTGAACAACCGGGACCTGATCGATACATTGGATTACCCGCCCTCTTTTGCCGGTGACCGGTCCAAAGCACTGCTATTGTTATCATGTCACTGAAAACCGACTTTATGTATGAGGTAAAATAGGAGGATAAAAGTCACGCGATAAAAATATAAGATGATAAAAAGATATATTTTTTACCAAGTAATAGGGCTAGATAACCAAGAGTCTTTCCATGGCTCAGTGGCCAGCTCGCTACACCTGACACTATTTCGGACTAACATACAACTCCTCTTGTCTTATTGCTTCATTTGCCTTTACTTACAGCTTGGACAATTAAAGAAAGCCTGGGATGACTTAAACAGGTGTGTCCTTTTTTTAAAAGTTCATTGTCTTTGACGTCTTATGATTATCTTAGCGAGATTAGAATCCAACTGACTCTTTTCCGTTTTGATCAGGTCAATCGAGCTTGAACCCAAACTTTTGGATGCATACTGGCACAGGCATTTGCTTCATCTCTTGCAGGATAATAAAAAGGTTCGTGTTAGCCTTCGATCTCTAATAATTTTTCCTTGGTGATTTCAGTAGTAGTGTACAGTAACTCTTCCAGACCTGTAGTTTCATTGGCTTCTGTAAGCAGTAGTTTCTTTTGTTTTAGGGCTCGGGGTACTGTTTCCTTTGAATCATCTATTTTTTCATTCTTCAATCACAGACCATGTCTAGAGAGCTATACTGACTGACTTTCTTGGTCATTTTTAAAAAGTCCTAAGTTATTAAATTGTGGTTGCGAGTGACTATATCCCACCATTTTTATTTCAGTAAAAAACTGTCTGTGCAGTAGTGAGCTTAAATATTAAAGCGTAATTAAATCACTCTCATCCTTCACACAACCTTCACGCTTGTCATTTCTATGACGACTAGAGTATAGAGTGTTTTCACGTGACGTCATGGCGGCCATATTGGTGTCCCAAAACAATGATACGGCGGCCATGTTGGTGTCCTAAACCAGTCCTGTGGGAGTTGAACTCTTTTCTTATGCAAACAATTTCTTTTGTTCCAATAAATTTGCATATATGCTCGCCACGTGAGTGAAAACACTCTATAGGCCTCTTTGAGGTTGAGTTTGAGGCCAGATCGGTGTTGTGTTACATGGGAATTTTACAAGGTCGCAAGGAAAACTGGATCAAAATTCCTCCCCCAAAATAGTCCGATTATGCAGTTCGAACCAACATTGACCCAGTCTCAAACACAACCTTAACATGGCCACTTAGTATAGGATCAATGATGCTAAAAAACATTATAAACTACTGTTCTCGTAGGCCGCTCTGGATGATCTGTCCTTTATAATTAAGAACAGCAGTACACAGGCACGAGCTTTTCGGTCCAGGTTAGTTGCTCTGAGTGCCGTACACGTACATACCGTGTGTGACGAATTTTTGCGGGTTCTAATGTTTGCGATTTTTCCAGCGATCCACAAAAATAAGTTCCCGCAAATAAAACTTACCGCAAACATTTTTCCCGCCAAAATTTACTCCAGAGTAAATATTCTCTAACTTATAAATTCGGTACACAAAAATAGAGTAAGAAATCGTGTCTGTTCAATCACAACTTGTCTCTTTCATTCAGAAACAAAACGGTATACGATGACATACTGGCCCGAGTTGTACAAAAGGTGGATAGCGCTATCCGGTGGATAAATCTCTATCCAGTGGATAGCGCAATTGGTTTCCCAAATACTTATCCGCTGGATAGTGATTTATCCGGTGGATAGCGCTATCCAACGTTTGAACAACCGGGGCCTGGTTTATTGTTTGAAAATATGTATTTTAATTTTCTATTGCACGTGTTCAATAAAAACGAAAATATCATCAATTCTGGGTACTGGGTACTTGCTGAAAATCGCAAAAATTATTTCCCGCAAGACACAAAAAATCAAAAATCCGCAAAAATTAACTCTCGCAAAAATTTCGTGCAACATGGTAGATCATTATATACCCTGGGTAATATCACATTGCAATGAAAAAATTTGAAATTATAAAGCACAGAACTAAAGTAGGTTCTTAAAAGAAGATACTAACGTTACTGTAGTTGTTATGTTTTTTGGGAGTTCATTTTTTAATAAATATTTTAGCGTCAAATAATGCATCGGCTTTTCATGGTTCGTCTTGAGCAACTCTNAAGGTGGATAGCGCTATCCGGTGGATAAATCTCTATCCAGTGGATAGCGCAATTGGTTTCCCAAATACTTATCCGCTGGATAGTGATTTATCCGGTGGATAGCGCTATCCAACGTTTGAACAACCGGGGCCTGGTTTATTGTTTGAAAATATGTATTTTAATTTTCTATTGCACGTGTTCAATAAAAACGAAAATATCATCAATTCTGGGTACTGGGTACTTGCTGAAAATCGCAAAAATTATTTCCCGCAAGACACAAAAAATCAAAAATCCGCAAAAATTAACTCTCGCAAAAATTTCGTGCAACATGGTAGATCATTATATACCCTGGGTAATATCACATTGCAATGAAAAAATTTGAAATTATAAAGCACAGAACTAAAGTAGGTTCTTAAAAGAAGATACTAACGTTACTGTAGTTGTTATGTTTTTTGGGAGTTCATTTTTTAATAAATATTTTAGCGTCAAATAATGCATCGGCTTTTCATGGTTCGTCTTGAGCAACTCTTAAAAGTTAGTTGTTATCTGTAGTATCTTACGAAAGGTTACTTGTATCCAATATCTCAGGTTATCTATTCACAAAACGTTTATTAAGTAAAAACAACAACAGTGGCGAGGGTCAGACAACAGAGCGAGGCTTAAAGGCTTAAAGTGCGCCCTTTAGAAACTCTATTAAATTAAATAACTGATTATGAACGTTTTTAAATGCAAAATGAACCAGTGATAATTTGTCTGCCGTTATATGTACAGGTTAGGGTAAGCCGATTATACACGGTTTATACAAAAAACTGACGTTATTGTTCTTCATTTTATATTATGAGGGTTTTTTCTGGCTGATTTCTTTATCTTTGCAAACATCAGGGCAGAACTTTACCGTCAAGAAAACGATGCCACAATGGCTATAGTTAACTATTCTCAGGTAAATCTCTACTCTAAGCCTTTATGCTTCATTTTTTACCTAATTTTTCTCCTTTACTAAGCAAAGTTACTTTGTTTTAGGCGATCAAGCTGAACCCAAATGATGCCGAGACGTATTACCAGCGAGCGGCCATGTTTAAAATGGTATTTATTTTTATCTCATTATAGCCTGTTTAACGTATCCAATCAACTGTTTCAACTTTTCGCTTTTAAAAGAAATCATTACTATAAAAGCCTGACCACTAAGATGTAAGCCAGAGATGCATATTGCGTTTCTAGGCTGTTTAACTCTTTCACTCACAAAAATTGAGTGATCTACTATTGTCAGGTGGTTCTAACTCTTAAGGCTGTGGACAATATCCTATGGTGTGCCCATTGAAATGAAACTTTTTTGCCAGTACTTTCAATTGGTGCATTTTGTTTTTCACATTTTACAAACTGAAATCACGTAATTCTTTATCACTAACACTTGTTCATCAAAATTTCATTCAAGCGTGGAGACATGATTCTTGCACTTGAGGACTACAAGATTGCAGCACAGCTAATGCCTTCCAAGACTGATGCCATGTTTGAGATAGGCCTCTTTCGCTTTAACAACGAGTAAGTACTTTCACAAAGTTTGTGTTAAAGGTTTACTTGGTCTAACTTTCCTTACTTTCGAATCGTTGTGCTCCGTAGTAAAAGGTAAAGGTCTTTATTTCACGTTGGTCTCTCGTAACAGGACACATTAGACTGACAAAGCTGAGGCGGACGGTTGGCTGATTTAACCCTCCCCCCTCTCCAATCTCCCCCCACCCCCACCTCCACCACTCGCCCCCTTCCCCCCACCCCCCCGCCCTCCCCCTCTCACACTCCCCACGACCCCATGCCACACACAACACATCAAACTCATCCAATCATATTTGCCTTANGTTTTTCACATTTTACAAACTGAAATCACGTAATTCTTTATCACTAACACTTGTTCATCAAAATTTCATTCAAGCGTGGAGACATGATTCTTGCACTTGAGGACTACAAGATTGCAGCACAGCTAATGCCTTCCAAGACTGATGCCATGTTTGAGATAGGCCTCTTTCGCTTTAACAACGAGTAAGTTCTTTCACAAAGTTTGTGTTAAAGGTTTACTTGGTCTAACTTTCCTTTCTTTCGAATCGTTGTGCTCCGTAGTAAAAGGGAAAGGTTTTTTTTTCCCGTTGGTCTCTCGTAAAAGGACACATTAGACTGACAAAGCTGAGGCGGACGGTTGGCTGATTTAACCCCCCCCCCTCTCCAATCTCCCCCCCCCCCCGTCTCGTTCGTTCTTTCTACCTCCATCGGCGCTCCGTTTTACGGGTACCTAAGGTAAAAGGTTCAAGTTAAACAAAACCATATAATTTGAACGATTTTCTTTGCTACCCTATATGGAAAGGAAAGAGCAAATAAAATAAATCCTCTAGCTACCTAAAGCTACACAAAAAGGACAGAAGTCGAACGAAGGTTTTAGGCAACACCTGGGAATCAAAACTGGAGCTTCCTGCACAGATGACTACACACTAATCGGTGTGTTTTATTTGTTTTTCCATGTCCTGCATAGAGCGTTCTATGCAGCCTTCGATTCAAAATTCTTGCTAGTTGCTTCTGAGAATTTACACTGATCAATAAAGATCTTACATGCCATATTATTGTATAGAAATCAACCACGTGAGCCTGAATTTTGTGATGGCAAAACCGTTCCACTTAGAAATCTACCGGTGTCTCCGGGGCGTGAGACAGTTCAGGAGTATTTCAAGATACAGCAACAGCTTATTTTCCTGTACACGCACGCTGGAGATGGTCTTTCTTAAGGTCTTTATCTTTGTAATTACTTTACGTACAGGAACTGGACTGCGGCGCTAAGAGACTTCACAACAATTCTTCAGCAAGACCCAGAAAACTCTTCAGCCTATACTTACAGAGCAAGAGTCTATGCTAAGATGGTATGTACACAATACTTTGTTATCGAAGTTGGAATTTGTGATTTCGAATGTGATATGTTTTGTTTCAAATTGAATTTTTTGATTTGTGAATTGAGAACAAGTCAGGACAGAGGCGAAGTAAACCTTTGACTAAAAGTGACGGAAACTTGACTTAATTTTTCCTGTTTCTTAAATTCAAAAGTTGGAAGTCTTGAGTTTGAATTTTTTATTTTAACTGAAAACAAATGAACAGAAGATTTTCTAATCCTGCAATAGATACTCTCCTTCTACAGGCCGAATAGGGCGAGGAGCATTGCGCGAATCCGGCCCGAACTGGCTGTGAAGGAGACTATCTGCTCACTGATGTGCACAAAGTCAGTTTTAATAATAGAACAGTGAACTGTTGTTTGAAGGCATACCATGACTTTTTTTTGTTTCGTGTATTCGAAGGTTATTGATTTAAAAAGGGCAAAATGTTAGTTACTGATTTCCACCCTGGAAAGGATGTGTTGCCTCGCAGCTATTAATCCAGGAGTTATTATTGTTGCAGAATAATTTTGAGGCTGCTCTAAAAGATCTTGCCGCTGCTGTTCATTATGATCCCAACAACGCCGTAGCGTTTTATCACAGAGGCTGTTTACTCAGAAAGTAAGGATGATTTCATTGATATTAACTTGTTCCGGGTAAGTGATTTGGGGAAAAAAGGAACGTGGCATGCTAGGAAAAAAGTCTTTTGCCGTCAGGGAATTTTGCAAGGAAATGTCAAGCAAAATCTTCGCAAAATATTTGGCAAAGTAAGTGAAAAGGTCACGAATATTTGTACTGAGGCTGCTACAACGGTTAAGACATTTTTATGCAAATGAACATACTGGCCATTTTTATGCTAGAGACGCTGAAGTCGTCTTTAGAAGCGACTCAGTAGTGAAGTGGGGGGGAGTAGCGAGGTGAGGTTTCTCCGTTGATATCAGCTATCTATTGTGGTGTAATCCTTGTAGAAGTTTAATAAGAATATATTTATCCTACAATAAATTATTAAATGTAAGGTAGCCCAGTAAACGCCTACGCGGCGTTTAGTTCAATATAATCAACGGAAAGTATTTCAGTGACCGATATATAATACAAGTTCAAAGGCTCTCTCTTTTTAAAACACACGTTATAGCAGTTATTATCCAACCTATGAAACCCAAACACACAACACAATCTTTTAGTCCTCATTGCACCCATGACAACCTTGACAAACCAGGTATCCCGTGATAAGCCATCACAGCCATGACTTGTCATTACACTTATCTCAGCCATGTTAAGACATTTAGAAATAGGCACTAGAGAAAGGCTGCAGTTACCCTTAGTTTTTTGAAATGGTATCCTAACTTCTTTTCGTAGACGTCAAACCTTGTTATAACATTTTTTTTTAAGAATTCATCCACGAAGAGCTCTACAAGATCTGAGTGTATCGCTACTCCTGGATAATTCATTGGAAAATGTTAAAGCTTTTCTGCATCGAGGAATCCTTTACACTGACCTTAAGAGGTAAACGTTTATTGTTTTTTCAGTACCATAACAGTACCATAACAGTAACATAACAATAACATACTTTTGTGCAACCTGTTCCTGAATGCCTCATTTCCGTCTAAAGGATTTGTTTCATTTGAGCGTTGTCAGTTCTCTTAGTTTAAGAGGGAGAAAAAAGGACTGTTTCATGTCAGGGTCAATCTTGCATCCTAGTAAAGCCAAGGTAAAACAGGAAAATTGTTTTGAGAAATTACTGCAAAACGAGTTGAAACTTAGAGCGATAAAGTGCTTTCACCACCCAAGAATCAACAAATGTCTTAATTTATCCTAATTTATGTTGATGAGCGACTGATCGGAGTAGAATGATTTGCTTATATATTCTTAACTGATCATGTAACTCTTTACGATGATTCTTTTTTTTTCGGCTTGTTGTGTTTCAGATGGGAAGATGCTGTGCCAGATTTTGAAGCTGCCCTTCTGCTTGATTCAGAATTGGCTAGTGCACATGTCAACATTGGCCTAATATACATAATTAAATATGGCAACTATCACAAGTAAGGATCGATTAAAGAAAAATAACAAAATGCTATTACTTCCACTACCACTACCACCACTGTCATTACCATATACCACCCTCATCACCACAACTACTACTACTACCACCACCACCACTACCAATATACCACCCTCATTACCACTACCACTACCTCTACCACCTACCGCCACCACCACTAATACTACAACTACCACTACCAACACTACCAATACCAGTACCACCACCTACGGCCGCAGCCGAGATGTCTTTGATATATCATTCCAAAGATCACGGTCAATCATGGCTTTACTGAGGTTATCTAAAGGAATACTAGGGTACTTACCATTTACATGGGAAAACCGGAAATTCCGGTCAGAAAATCAAATGGTACCATTCCGTTTGGAACGCTTCGAAAAATATTGGCTCTGATTTAAGGTGATGCAATTTTTCTCCCTTTTTAGTCTTCTCAGCAAATTTGGATGTACCTTCTAGCCGGTCATTCTCTCACCAAGTCAAATTTTTTAGTTCTATTTTTAAGCACGAGATTTCCACGCGGGTGGTTTGTTTAAATGGTAAGCACCCCTAGTTTCGCTGCTCAGCATATCTCAGGGATACGGTGGGGTTTTCTTCTGCATTTCGGGTATGGTAGTCTCCACAACAGAAGGTCAGATGTCAACTCCTGGTGTGACCTTAGACTATATCTAGCAAACAAGATGCTTCTTAATCGAAGTGTTTCACTTAAGGCAAGAGAGAAGTGAAATTATCTCTTCAACTAGCGTGGTAAACTTTCCATCAAGTCGTTTTAAGTGGGGCTTAACTGGGAACTCGGCAACTCATAGCTATTTTTTCAGTAAAGTGAGACCTAATAAAAGTTCAGTCTTGTCTGGAACAACCGTTATTTTTGCATGTTATCTGTTCAGGGCTGTTCGTCGATACACTGCAGCAATCCGTGTGGATCCGACGTACATCAGAGCTTACATATGCCGTGCAGAGGCTTATCATAAACTACATATGGTGAGTGCATAGATACATTAGTCGTCAGTTGGAATGATATAGAGTCATAAAAAGGCCAGAACCCTGCCTTGCCTCTTACCAATGCCAATTTTGTTCACACGGCACCGAACGAATTTTCGACCGGCTGAAAAATTTTACCAGACACTTCATTCACATGGAGCAGTTCAATATTTTCCCACTGTTTACACGGAACTGACGAACCAGGTTGAATATTAACTTTTGTCAGAGGTTTTACCCGTGTGCCAATGCGCAAAGCACTGCTTTGGCAAATCCAAAATGGCGTCTTCCAGCTGGGGTACCACACATCCATGCAACCACGCCTTTAACTACAAACATTTTGACGGTTATGGCCTTCACACCGCGCCTGTCAAATTTTCGACCATTTGGCCTCGATTTTGGTGTTAAAAATTTTGAACGGCCAGGCGTTTAAATTTTCGTACGGTTAAGGGTGGTTCTGTGTGAACAGAGCACCTATGCGCACGAATTTTCCTTAAGTATAGACCTCTTTCATAATGGCGGCCTATTAGTAGATTCTTTTATATGTGTGATAATTAGCCTTTCTGACCTCAATAGCTTGTGCAAAATACAAAACAATTCTTACTTTCAAACGATGTCAGAAGGCCAATTGTCATACATATAAAAGAAATGCAGCCATTATGAAAGAGGTCTACATAAACTGTAACCTTAAACTTAGTCTTTAGTGCAATAAAGCATCTGCCTGTCTTTATTTTTCTTTTCTTTTCTTTAGCATTCTATTTTTTTGGAGGGGAGTGGGAGGGGAGAAATAGAAGTAAAGGCAAGAGAGGACTAAATTCACCGCTTGTTGCTTTTACTTACATTGATTCGTAGGTTCAAGATGCTATCCTAGACTACACACGAGTGATTCACATGCGTCCAGACATATCAGACTACCATATGGCACGGGTAGGTTAAGGCGGTCATCACATCGAGTTTAAGAATCGCGTTTACGACATACAGACATCGTGAAGTCGCCGTTTATGGTCTGCCATAAAATCTACCAGCTTACTGAAGAGGGAGAAATTCCAAGAAAAATTGTTGATCGCAGCAGTAAAAGCACCACAAGTAAAGGCAGACTTCTTAATGTTAATCACGTTGAAAAACCCGTGAAAAACGGAAGGAAAATTATAATAAAGTGGTACGTTTTGGGATGTTCTTGTATGACGTACGCTCGAGTCTCAGTCTCTCTGTTCTCGAATCCAAGCTTGTACTACTGTGAAAGCCCAATGCCTGTTCAGGCCTGAAAAAGCCATGTTGCGCCAAGAATGTTTGCCACTATGAAATGCAGGCTGGGTTTATCTGCGAGCTCGCCAAAACTTCGCTACTGTTGAATTAAGTTTCAAAATTAGCTCTTAAGCAGTTCTTTAGACTTGCCTTCTTTATTTAAGCGGAAGTGACGTCATGACGCGCCGATTTTCGTATTTTCTTTTAGGGCAAACTGTTGCTGGAGCAAAATAAATTAGAGCTTGCAAGTTTTCATGTCAGGTTTGTTTTTTTCTTCAACTTTTCTTTTTTTTGTGCTTGTGATTAAAAGACGGTATTCAGAGTTTGTAACAGCAGATGTTTGTATTATTTTGTCCTTTCTCTTACCTTCTATTACGTGGAAATAGGTTCTAAAACATTGTCACCATAGTTTGTCATTGCGTGCGACAAGGAGCCCGCAATCCTAATCTCCAGGTTGTTATTACGCATGCGTCGCATGCATGTTGCCAGCATTCATTTGGACTTCCACTAAGAATGAATGGAATGTACAGAACGCAATTTGATCACGCACGTTTGGACCTTCTGTCACTCGTAATCTGGTCATGCGTGTTTTGACTATCAGTCACGTGAAACTTACGCAAAGCACAGCAATGGATCATAAGCGTTTTGTCCTTCGATCGTTGTCGCCCGCACTTCTTATCATTTGGTTATTACTAGCATTAAGAAGATAGATTTTAATTACTGCCTCTTAATGTTCACCAGTGCTAAGCCCTGTTTGATTGTTTTCTAATAGTTGGGCCATTTTCTTTCACTAGACAAGCCGCTGACCTGAATAGCGGGCTGGGCGCATCTGCAACACAACAGGCTGTCGTGCAGAGTTTCTTAAGGAATTTTGACCAGGTAAGCAGAGAATATAAATAGGAATCCCCACTTCAAATGCAAATCAAAATAGGGACTCGAACTAGCGGGTGTGGATACAGTTTTACCTCAGTTGTTCACAGACCTTCTATTTTACTTTTGAAATCGTAGGTCGCGCCGTCTATGAAAATATAATCCGCGGGTAATTCATTGACCTCTATGGCAAGAGGGTGGCTTTTTTAACAGGAGAAAGATTCACCTCATATCACTCACCTATTCTCTTTGTGCCTTGTGGCACATGAGGCCTTCACAGAGTCCCTCCACTCCACATGTCGGTTAGCCGCAACGGTCTTCACTTCCTCCCACGATTTTCATCCTGCTTCTGCTTATTCCTTTTCGACCGTTCGCCTCAAGGTTAGAGGAGAGAGGGTTATCAGCCCTCAACCCAACCCCCAACCCGGAGGACCAGGGGACCACACTTAATCTGGTCTCAATCCTTCGACCTGTTTGGCATGTGTGGCCCTACCAGGAGTCAAAGACTCTTGGCCGACATAGCTCTATTAGACTGCAAAACGGTCCGTATTTTTGGGTATTCAAGTACGCGCGAGCAGTCAAACAAAGAGTCTGAACCGAGGCTGAAAACGGAGAGCGAGACTGAGGAGAGAGACTGAAAAAACGGACTGTCCGTTTTGCATACGTTATATTCGTTCGAATTATACCCGCTTCTCACAGCCACGGGCAATTCCCATTGGCTAAATTTTGATGCAAGCTGTCAAGTTGGTGATTCCAATAAGTTAGTAATTCGCGATGTTCCTAACTGTGATGATTTCCTAAAGCTGGAGGCGGTTGATAATCACCTGGATTTACTCGCGCAAGAATTATTTGTCCTAAAGTCAGAGGAAAGGGAAGCTTTGGAGTCGCTACTTAGGGGAAAGGGTGTTTTTTGTGTCCTACCAACAGGCCTTGGCCCTTTTCAATGGCAATAATTGTTCATTGTCCGTTGGCTAGTTCTCTGGTTGGGTGTTTGGTTGGTTCTCTTTAAGTTGCGAAAGCATCGCAGCACGCTTTCAAACATCTGTTCTGTGCAGCGAGTAAACTCTTGTGGAGAAAGATTAATCTCCTTCGTCGAGAACAACAAAAAGATCGTTTTTATAAAGACCGGCCAACTTTGGTAATCTTTCACCTGTTTATAGTAGAAACAAGGTTTGTGAAAAAGAACCCAAATTTAAGATTATACTTAATACGCATGTCAGAAACCTTGATATTCTTGAATTTCCAAATTTTGCGGACTGTAAAAATAGAAATTTTGCTATTGTAACGTTATGATGAAGCATACTCTACTATGATACATAATACACATGACAGGAACCTTGATACTATTGAATTTCCAAATTTTGCAGACTGTAAAATATAGAAATTTTGGTATGTGACGCTTATCATGGAGACAAATTAACTATAATAGAAACTCTGGCATTTTTTTATTTCCAAATTTTGCAGACTGTAAAATATAGAATTTTAATACGTGAAGCTTATCACGGAGCCAAATTAACTATAATAAAAACTTTGGCATTTTTTAATTTCCAAATTTTGCAGACTGTAAAATATAGAAATTTTAATATGTGACGCTTATCATGGAGTCAAATTGACTATAATAAAAAACTTTGGCATTTTATAATTTCCAAATTTTGCAGACTGTAAAATATAGAAATTTTAATACGTGACGCTTATCATGGAGTCAAATTAACTATAATAGAAACGTTTGCATTGTTTAATTTCCAATTTTTGCAGACTGTAAAATATAGAAATTTTAATACGTGAGGCTTATCACGGAGCCAAATTAACTATAATAGAAAATTGGCGTTTTTTAATTTCCAAATTTTGCAGACTGTAAAATATAGAAATTTTGATATGTGACGCTTATCATGGAGCTACATTAACTAAAATAGAAACTTTGGCATTTTTTAATTTCCAAATTTTGCAGACTGTAAAATATAGAAATTTTGATATGTGACGCTTATCATGGAGCTACATTAACTAACATAGAAACTTTGGCATTTTTTAATTTCCAAATTTTGCAGACCGTAAAATATGGAAAATTTGCTATTTGACGCTTGTGATGAAGCCAAGTTTCCTACTATACATTATACACATGACAGAAACTTTGATAGTTTTGCATTTCCAACTCTTGTTATGAAGCCAAATTTACTATCATACCTTATACACATGAGAGAAACCTTGATAGTTTTGCATTTCCAACTCTTGTTATGAAGCCAAATTTACTATCATACCTTATACACATGACAGAAACCTTGATAGTTTTGCATTTCCAACTCTTGTTATGAAGCCAAATTTACTATCATACCTTATACACATGACAGAAACCTTGATAGTTTTGCATTTCCAACTCTTGTTATGAAGCCAAATTTACTATCATACCTTATACACATGACAGAAACCTTGATAGTTTTGCATTTCCAACTCTTGTTATGAAGCCAAATTTACTATCATACCTTATACACATGACAGAAACCTTGATAGTTTTGCATTTCCAACTCTTGTTATGAAGCCAAATTTACTATCATACCTTATACACATGACAGAAACCTTGATAGTTTTGCATTTCCAACTCTTGTTATGAAGCCAAATTTACTATCATACCTTATACACATGACAGAAACCTTGATAGTTTTGCATTTCCAACTCTTGTTATGAAGCCAAATTTACTATCATACCTTATACACATGACAGAAACCTTGATAGTTTTGCATTTCCAACTCTTGTTATGAAGCCAAATTTACTATCATACCTTATACACATGACAGAAACCTTGATAGTTTTGCATTTCCAACTCTTGTTATGAAGCCAAATTTACTATCATACCTTATACACATGACAGAAACCTTGATAGTTTTGCATTTCCAACTCTTGTTATGAAGCCAAATTTACTATCATACCTTATACACATGACAGAAACCTTGATAGTTTTGCATTTCCAACTCTTGTTATGAAGCCAAATTTACTATCATACCTTATACACATGACAGAAACCTTGATAGTTTTGCATTTCCAACTCTTGTTATGAAGCCAAATTTACTATCATACATAATATGCATGACAGAAACCTCGGTATTTTTAAATTGTCAAATTTTGCGGACTGTAAAATATAGAAATTTTAATATTTGACTATTATGATGAAGCAAGAAAGATTACTCGAATAAAAAAGAAAAACGACTGTAGACCGGCTTTTTTAATTTACACTCTTCGGGGACAATTTCCAAATATTGTCTTTACTCTTTTAACATAACAGCTATTACAATTTTCAGCGACATAAATTACCTAAAACGATTCAAGTCTCTCTCTGCTTTTATGAGGTTTGGCAGGGACCTGGGTCAAAATTTGTCCCCAAGACAGTCCCATGGTGCAATTCGATACAACACCGCCCTAGTCTCCGCACAACCTCAAAATGGACAGTAAGGCATCTGCTGAATAGGATGCAGATGAGGATGTTTTAGTAGAGAACTTTAGATTCTAGGGCGGGGACCACCACGAGGCCGGGATTTTCGAAATACTAAGTAGTGAGTGAGCGTGAACCAGCTTCTTTTGGGCGGGAAAGTGCGGTATCTGTCGTCAGCTAGTATGGGTTTTAGCGAGAACTTTCTAGTGACGGAAAAAGTTATCAAATGTTAGAGGTTTTCTCATTTTGCGATCGGGAGAGGGCTAAACCTCCTTCAATAAAAAAAATAACGGTGCTGACTTTGCTGGTGAAAAAAAGTAGTATGAAGTTTTCCGTATGCGAAAAAACTTTAAGTTAAATTTCGTCCTTGTAGTCGTCAAGACCTTTGAACGTAACCTGTTGCAGTCTTGTGAGTCATTTTTCATTTCTTATGAATTGTGTTAATTATAATTTGCTTGATTTTCAGGCCATTGAAGTTCTTGAGCGCGCCACTCGTGTGAGACCCGTAGCGCCTTTGTTCATTCTCCTGGGTAAAACCAACATGAAGGCCAAAAGGTTTGAGGACGCCATCAAGAGCTTTGATCGAGCCATCGAAATCATGGTTTGTTTGTTTGCAGTCAGGTGTTTTTCCATAATAAACGTAGGATATGCTTCGTTCCCCTCATTTGTTATGAATTAAAAATACGAAACAAGAAACTATGTTACGAGAGCTGTAAGCATTGTTTCGAGGATCATTTCCACATTTATATTGTTGCGTCCATTATCATTGTTTGGCGGATTGTTCGAAAACACTGCTCAAATGTTGACCATTCTTTTAACCCTTTAAGTCCCAATGGTGTCCAACATCAATATTCTCCTAACACTATCCATACATTGTGAAGAGATTAGGTTATGAGAAAAGGTTATGAGAATTAATAAAATGATTACTTAAGAGAAAATACCTTGATCTTTTACCAAATTCTCTTAACTCATTCTTTAAGGAAACGTATGAAGACCAGTTTGGAGAATTTGTATGTGGATATTGGGACTTAAAGGGTTAATATGTGCTAGCATCATTAACCAACTATGTTTTCGTTTTCTTTTGAATTTAACTGGCAGACGCCATGGAACCCTAGAATGGAAATGCCAATGGAGGCCGCATCTGTTCATTTCCTGATTGGCATGTGTCATTCGGAGCTTGGGAGACCGCTTGGTGCACTAGAAGCATTTAACAATGCCATACGCGTGAATCCAGATTATGCTGAGGTAAGCAATTAAGACTATTTGTTTGAAGGAGATCAGCTTACGCATTTTTAGTCAAAGCAAAGCAAAGGCTTTTAAACTACCCAGGTAACCCAGTTTAGGCAATTTCAGCGCTTACCAGCTAGTCTAAGAATGACTGAATGAACAAATTTAAAAAAAACAACATGTTAAAAAACCGTAGATGTTCAAATCAAAAGAAGTACAAGAAAGCCTTGAGAGGGCATAGATGAGCTTTGCGAGCCTGCCCGTTCAAGCCCCGCCACCTCGCCACCACCCACCGCCCCACTTCCAACAGAAAAATTTGTCACCGCTGTTTTGATCTTACCAGTTTGTCTCCTTCTCAAGGATGACGATTGTATATGTTTTGTTGACGTCCTTTGACAACTCTTTCTTAAGCGCAACTAAGCTGTTGGCATCAGTTCCAAGGGGGTTTGTTTGAAGTTCGTTAATTCCTTCTACGCTTTTGTAGTATTCCATGATATTCCTCTCCTTTCCTTCCACAAGGATGGGCCAGGGAATGAAGATCGTGGAATGAAGCGTAAACTAAGCTTCCATTCTAGTTTGTAAGATTCATGTCGTGAGCCCGTTACTAATAACTCACCTTTTCAGGCTTTTTATCAACGTGGACTCGCCAAAATGAAACTGAAGCATGCCAAGGGAATCCATGATTTTAATCGAGCCTTGGCTATTAATTCAACATTATTTCAGGTAAGTGTATGGCAACGAGTTTCTAACGTCTGCACTCGGCTTGGTGAGGTGGGGGAAGCAGTCGAACAAAGGAACAGATCCAAGATCCAATTCAAGAGTGCTAATCTTAAATAACGCCGAGTGTTGTGGTTTTGCTTATTTGAGCAGCGAGAGGAAATGAATGGAGCCGTAGTGTTTGACTTCCCTCTTTTCTTTTCCTGTCGCGTTAGCATTTTAGCGGCCTTGTGATGGACCCTTCTTCTTCTTATCTCCATCTTCATTTCAAACTCTGTCATAGTTCTGAGACCCTCCTGCCCATATGACCCTGGGCTAGAGTCCCGGATGCGACGCCATTGACTTGGATTGATTAGTTCTCTTCCCTGCTTAGAGCGCTTTTTTTTTCACTCCTCAAAAACCTACACTTTCAAATTTTAGTTTGATTTGAGATATGAGTGGTTCACAAGCTTCCTTTAGGCTCATGTTTTCTTCTATAACATTAGTTTGACATGGTCTTGGTAAGAAATGCATGCTTACAAATTAAAAACAGTCAAGTACGTTCATGTCAATTTGAGAATCAACAGTGTTGAGTAGTCAGTAACTTTGTATGAGCCGATCCGTCCTCGTAATACCTTCTGGCCAATTTGGGCTAAAACGTTTTTAGCAATACGGTAGCGAGGATAAATGACTGATGACGTCTACAGTGTTTTTCAGTGAGAACTGAACTGTTTCTTCTTTCAAGCAGCTTACTTTACAGTCTTTTATTATAGTATAGCCACATGATTGTTCTAGCTGCTGGATCTGTACTTTAAGTTGCTGTTACACGGAGCGATTCGCCTCGACGAGTTTTAGTACAACACAGCGCTGCAATGTTGGAACAGTGTTGTAATCATTCGAAACAATGTTGCAACGCTGTGTTACGCTAAAAATCGTCGTTGCGAATCGTCTCGTATGACATCACCTTTAGGGACGTCATCTTGTCCCTTATTCACGAGAAGAAAACCGGGCCCAGGTAACTTTCGCAAAGAACTCTGGGACTGTTACTAGAGACAGGGAAAAAATTAGTCAATCAGCAGCGACACACATCAACCGGAAGTGAGCCTTTTTCTCTTTTAGTAAGCCTTGACGCTACCAAATTTGTATTGCCAAGTGTCTTAATTCTCTTATAGAGACGATTTGCTCAAAAATTTGTTCAAAATCATGGCTCAAGAGTGCAAAACGTCCACTTCCGGTTGACGTGCGTCGCTCAAAAACGTCGCTGCTTAAACTCCTAATAGGGACTTAAAGTTCCAACGACGCGACAGCGACGAGAACGTCGCTTAAAAAGTGAATTTGAGTTTTTTCAGTCTTTATAGCGATTATTCCTACCCACTTACTTTGTCGATTGTAGGCGAACCCTTCTGAAGCTGAATTTCAAGGGACCATATTCAGGCTCAGAAAGAGAAATAAAGTTTCGTCGTTGCTTGTTTACGTTCTCCTTAAAACGCGAAATTACTCATTTTCACGTTTTAGTCGTGCAAAAACGGGAAAGAAATGTACAAAAAAGTGTGATGCACGTGTGAAGTTGTTGTTTTGCTGATTAAACCAATTGTTTTTTTGACGTTCTCGTTGTCGTCCGCGTTGCTGGATCTTAAACTCCCTAATAGCTGACCGGCGAGTCCCCAGTAACGATCCCAGAAACAATTGCGGGACGCATTTCGCCCCCAGCTTCCTTCTAGTTTCTTAAGTGTCGAATTGCTGGACAACAGTCGATACTATTGGAACAAGCTGAGTCAAAAGTGGGCCATTTATTACAGGTTATTTAACAATTATTCCACGAGTGCGCGTTGGATATAAGATGGTAGATAGCCAACAAGCTCGAGTGGAATAATTGTTTTATTAAAAACGCCCGACTTCATTTATAAAAACAACCGATTTTCAGCTTGTTTTTAATTTTGAGCAGACGCAGAAGTTTTTGGTTATTATTCTAAGTCTGTTTAGTGGGCGGAAAAATAACTGGAGAGTAACCTTGGCTTTTGGTATTTTCGGACAGGCATTTTTGAGTCGAGCAGCTTACTATGGTATGAAAGGCCGATACAGCAAAGGTATAATGAGCTGTAATGAAGCTATCAAGTTGCAGCCACGCAGTGTTAGAGCATACCTGTACAGGTTTGGTTCTTTTATCCTGTTCTCTTCTATTGTATTCCATACCCCCTATCCTATCTTATACGACAGGTGTGAAAGGTGCTGTAAGTACACTCTCACTGGCTTAGATCAAAAGTAGTTTAGCAAATGTTTACACACACGTGATTGAGTGTTTTACAAGTTTTTGACCTTTTCTAGGTACTTTTCGTGGAGGGCACTGGCCTTTCATGTTTTTGCAAATTTTAAAACAATTACATGTGAGTGATTTAGCAACAGAGCGGGGACTTCAGTTGATGACGAAAAAGTGTGCAGAAAGGACTGAACCCTTCTTCCAGTTCCCAATTTTGTGCTCTGCCATTGGTTATGCCGGTCTTGAGATTTGCGCATGCCGTTGTAACTGTCGTGGCGTTGTCTCTTTGCATGTTATCAATTATTTGATTTACTCTGTGCTAGTCCCGCTTCCTCGCCATCAGCCAAACTACTCTCCCCTAACCGCTAAGGAAGACCTGATACTCAAACTACCTCGCCTTCAACTCCCATGTGGCCTCGCATTGACGATCTTGCTTAAACATCCTCGTTATTTTTTTTTTTTTTTCCAACTTCGTAGGGGCGCACTGAAGTACAACATCAAAGCGTTTAGTCTTGCAGTCAAAGATCTCACTGAAGCTGTTGCTATAGATTGCAAGTGCTCCCTGGCGTACTTCAACCGCGCTGTATGCTACCATGAAATGAAGTTCTTTCAAAAGGTTTGTGAAACCCACTGATAGCAATATAATATATGACGTCGTGCACAGTCTTAGTATATTGTCTGTATTAAACTTTAGCCTCTTCCATTCAACTCCTTGGAGCGGGACCTTGTACTCTAGCACCAAGGAACCAAGGGTCAACATAGAGTAAATGATCGCTTTTTTTCTGTTTGGAAAACTAGGCATTGATGGATTATGGTACTGTAATGTTACTTGAGGATAGCCCTAACATCAAGGTGAGTGTATATGATTTTTCGAAATTATTTTCGATATTCTCAATTCTGTTGACGTATCCCTTTCTCTTTGCTATCCAGGTCCTTCAGAATCGTGGATTACTTTATTACGAAATAGATGACATCGAAAATGCCCTGCAAGACTTCCTAGCTGCATCGAAGGTGCAGGTTTAATTTCTTTTGTAGTAAGCTATATTTCTTTGTCACTACAGCCAGAATTATCTTCCATTCTGAAATATAAGTTAGCATAAGATGTGTAAAATATATCTCCCCCGCCATCGAACCCCACATAGGCAAGACCAAACGGATTAATCACTCACTGTACACATAATGTCTGGGTCACAAGGGAAACCATGAGTTAGTTTTGTTTTTCTGCGAGGTGAGGAAAATGTGTTCATTCACGAGAGTGGTAACTGGTAGTGTTTTTCCCACCTCAGTCTGTCATGTCGCTTTCTACCATGCTTTGAGTCAAATCACGTGCTGTTGTATCTGGTAAAAGATTCATAACAACCGTCATGAATATAAAGCAATTCATATCCAGTTAAAAACTATATAACGTCAGTGTGCAGTTCAATTAGACTGGTATAGTTGGGTTAGTTTTGTGTAGTTAGTGTAGTTGACGTATAGTTCATATGGTTTGGTAAAGTTGCTGTAGTTAGTGTAGTTGGTGTGGTTAGTGTAGTTCTGAAGTTGGTGTACTGTAAATATTGCTCATGTTTTGACAATTTTTGGTGGTTTGTGAGACAAGCTCTTGTTGCTGTCGTCATTGTTTGAAGCCTCTGAGGTGCCTCTATTAACAGCTTTGCTAGAAGGCATTTTTGTTAGCAGAAATCCGTCTATAATGTGCCCTTGAGATAGGAGCTAGGGCAGAAGAGGTCGCCAACCGTAAGCTTTGTGTCCAGGATTGCATGCAGCTGCGAAAATTGCGAAAACTTGGAAAATCCGTTTAGTCAGTGAAAAGCAGTGAAGAGTAGGTTGGGAAGGTCGTCCGACTTAAACTGCGATTTGTGCGTAAACTGCAAAATTTACGGAAAATTAGAAAATTCGCAAAAATTTGCTGAACCAGTGAAAATCAGCAGAAATGGACGATTTTTCACAATTTGCGCAAAGTTCGTAAATTCTGTCACTGGCTTATGACAAAGAGCTGCGAAAATCACAAGTATAGCAAAAAATTGCGACCTTGTAAACGAGACAGAGAACAGCGGTAAATCGCAATTAACACGAAAATTTGTGAACCTTACAAAAAACCGCAAATTTTACAATGAACGCGCGAAAAATTTCCAATCTTGCAGTTTTTTTCTGCGTTGTTTTCTGCGTGTGAGAAAAATTTCAAATTTTTCCACTGCGTGCAAACCTTCAACCAAAGCTCTATCGGCCATTTTGTGTTTGAGCGTGAGGCGGGTTCCCTGTTCTGTCGAATTGCCCTCTGGGACTGTTTTGGTGTTGTTATCGTTTCTTTCATTGGCTAATAGAGGTTGCGCAGGAAATTGGGTCAAAATTACTCCCCTAAAACAGTTCGGCAGTTCGAGTTGCTTAACACCCAAGGCTGTGCTCTAAGGAAAATTGAAGGGAACCCAGTGCTCTGAAACTGTAAAATCTAGGGTGCCCAGCATATGATTTGTATGAAAAATCTGAGATTTTCTAGTCGCCCGCGGGCAAAAGTTAGGCGCCAGGGGCCACCGGACTCTGCTAGAGCACACCCCTGACACCAACCCAAGTTTAAGACGGAGATTCAATATTAATAGTTCTTTGCTCGCTTTTAAGGTCTCACCGAATGATCCTCACATTCGCCACACCTTGGGTCTCTGTTATCACAGGTAACTCTCACGTTATTTGAACTAGCCGATTCAATTCTCCCTTCGTGTAATTTGTTTTCAAAACCCAGAATGTATGCAGCTGATACTACCCTTACCACATCTGCAGAAGACCCATGTGTCCTTGAACATAAAATGAATTATGATATGAATTTAATCCAGTCATGGCTGTCAGCAAACAAATTAACTTTAAATGTTAAGAAGACTAAATACATGCTTATAGGGAGCCGATTTAAGTTATCCCAAATAAATAGTGACTTCACAGTCCAAGTCAATAATACACCCTTAGAAAGAGTAATTAAACATAAATCCCTTGGAGTTCAAATTGATGAATCTTTGAACTGGCGCCCACACATTCATACCATTTCAAAGAAAATATCCGCTGGTATTGCTATCTTAAGGCGTGTAAGTCATTTTATACCATTTGATACTAGAGTGAACATGTACAATGCACTGGTAATGCCATATTTTAATTACTGTGGTGCCGTTTGGGGTAATATCAATAAGGGACTAGCAGACAAACTTCAAAAGCTGCAGAATAGGGCTGCTAGAATTCTCACCTTTTCTAACTATGACGTTCGCTCAAGTGTTTTGTTGGATGAGCTTGGCTGGGAAAGGCTAGAATATGCAAGACTTAAACAGTTGGCTGTGACAATGTATAAAATCCATAATAATCTTTCCCCATCGTATCTGAGGCGGATCTTTACCAACACCTCAAATGTACATTCACACAATCTTAGAAATTCTGAGTTAAATTATTATGTCCCCAGACCCAAAACTGAGTCTGCAAAAAGGAGCCTACACTACAGAGGATCTGTTCTGTGGAACAAGATTCCCTCAGAGATTAGAAAACTGCCTAGTTTAAATGTTTTTAAAACTTCAATTCATGGGAAAGATTTTTCTAATACACCATGACCCATTGTAACTCTTATTATCCATAATGTAAGTTTTTGTATTTTTAACATTATAGTCAATAGTTCCTTAGTCTTTTAGTCTTAGTATTTTAGTCTAGTTTTAAACACGATTCCTAGGAAGACCATGTAAAATGATACGATTTCGTGTATAAATAAAGATTGATGATGATGATGATGAATTAAGCTTGCTTTGGCCATTGAGCGTTTGGGCATTAAGAACTCACTGCAATGATTTACTTGAGTGACCACCAAACAATAGCTTTGCGGTACGCAATTCCCAATGCCTAAAGCAACCTTTATCGAATCAGCTGTATCTTTCAATTGAATGTAGAAAACGATTTTGCAAATGCTTGTTCTGTGATAGACAGAAAAAATGGCAGGCCACTTAAAGCGATAAAATTGGGTAAGCTATTTTAGTAAAGTCCAACTAGTGGTCTATCATCAATGCTGCGTTCTGATTGGATGAGCTACTACTAGGCTAATAATGTTATAGCCCACTAGTAGCGAAAAGCGCCGGCTTTGAAAACCAAAGCAAAGGCGGCTGAATCGCGTTTTGATAGCTAAAGTTGTTTTGTCTCGATATTTTTTACCAACTAGTTGTATTTTTCTAAAACAATTATTCCTCTCGCCCTCATGGCCTCTGAGTCAATAGCCCATGAGGCCCTCGGCCTCATGGGCTTTTGACTCAGAGCCCATTCGGGCTCGAGGATACATACTGTGCTTGATACATACTAGTTAACATTGCGCCTTTAACTCGACTGAAATTTGAAAAGTTCCTTAAGAACACGTTCCTCACTGTACATCGTCTTTGATTCCTTTCCTTACTCATTTTAGGTTGAACCGTTTAGAAGAAGCTGTCTCATCGTATAACGATGCTCTTCGCATTGATCCTTTCTTTGTTGAGGCTTACAATGGGCGCGGCAATGCTTTGATGGACTTTGGACATGAAGATGGCACCGTTCTAGGAAGGTTAGACTTCCCTCTAGTCTCCTTTGGGCCCATTTTTGGGATGTCACGCAACGCCCCTCCCAAAGTGAACATTAACCACAAAGGACCGCAAACGAACGTACCGCAGGACGTAAGCTGTACAGGAAATTTGAGTAGCAGAAATTTCTGACAAATCTCTGTAAGAATTTTTTGCCTGGGATTCAACTGCTGTCCGTATTATCGGGGTGTCCGGAAGGCGAGAGTTGACTGTATATGCTTTCCACTGTCTCACGATGTCGTCTTTTCCTTCCTAAAATCTGTTCTGCTTATCTTGTAGGCGTGATTATCTCAAGGCTCTTCACATGGATCCTCTCTGTTTATCTGCGCGGGTAAACCTTGGCTACAATCTACAGGTAATCTGTTTGTTTTCAACCACTAACTTTCTGACCAACTCACTTTCAGACCAAGCGCGTTTTAGTTATGGGGCTCTCAAGTAAATGTCAAAACACTTTTGAGACTTCTTTGTTTTTTAATTATTACCAAAAAAACTCTCCCACCACTTCTCAGCCTGTGTAACTTGCGAGCATGCTAACTTGGGCGAGTTGAGGAAAAAAATTTTGCCTGCGGAGCCGCCAACTTTTCCCCCCCCGAAATCGCAAAAGAGAGCCTACTCCCAGACTACAACCAGGGCGGTGTGAGGGCCAAACTAGACTCGCTTGGCGTTGACGATACACATTTGCTCTGAATTCCGATTGGCCAAATTTATTGTCTACGTTTTATGATTGGCTAGACAAGCAACTAAAAACTGCTCTTTGAGATGGTTGGTTTTATTTGCTCCTTCACTTGTTAACTGTCTTTACAGGTGGAAGGAAAATTCCAGGCAGCCTGGAACCAGTTTTCCTCAGCTGTTACCATTGATTCAGGTCAGTTTAAAAGAGACTCAGGTAAACTCTCTTGTAAGCGACCACTCATTATGATCCAAATGTCTGATTGTTATCGCGACTGTGACAAAATTATTGAATCTAATGGGCTATTAGCTTGAAGAGCAACAAGACCACAGTGTAATAGGCCATTTCCGAGTACTAAAAACTCTCACTTTCGAAACGAGAGCAAGTGCAAAACCTATCTTGTGAAAATTAAGCATGAGAATAAAAAATCATTTTCCTATAAATAACATCGCATTTAGCCTCGCTTGGAAACGAAGTCACGGGGCAACTCGGAAAAGGCCTATTGGCCATTACATAAACGTCATCGCATGCTCTGTCGATTGCCATTTTGAGCCGGTTGCGCGTTAGACTGGTTCGTGTTGTGTGGAATTGCACCATGGGACTGTTTGGGGGACGCTATTGCTTCCTTTATGGGTGATTACGAAGTTTCGCAGGAAAGTGGGTCAAAATTTGCCCCCTTAAGGTGACTCGACCCAAATTTGAAGGAAAAAAAACTACGAATTTTTAAGAAAATGCTTTCTTCGTGAGAAGGACTCTTAAACGCTGACAAACGTCAACAAATAGCGAAAACAATAATTTCTATATGTTTGCTTTGCTCGAAATCGCGCGCATTTACAAGGCCCTAAAGCGTTTTGCTGACTTGCAAAGACCCATCTGTTATAACGATGCCCAAAATGGAGGGATGTATCTCATAGTTTATTAGACATAATCGTGTAAAGTTTGCTTATCATTTTCGCATAAATTATAACCTTAATTTGGAAACCGCTGAATTTCTGGAATTGGGTCTTTGCGATTTTGGTGAAACTCTGTTCAGCGCAAGGCACTAATGCGCACTATGTATAGCCGAGAGATTTTCACGAAAAAATGCCGGCAACAGCAGATTTTCGACTCAGACCTCAAAGGGGCGTGGCATTATAACCACGTGGCATTTACTCCGATCGCCAAAAATTTTATGTTATATTGTAGATTGATCTATATGTTATCCATTCTATGTGTTAGACTTACGATAAAATTAAAGGTGGGGATACCAGAGAGCTTCAAAGTAGGATGGTACCCCCCCAAAAAACTGGGTCGAGTCACCTTAAACAGTCCCATAGTACAATTCGAACTCATTATCGACCCAGTCACCAGCGCAACCTTAAAGTGTCGTCTTCTTACACTCGCCTTCTTTCACTCAAAAGACAGCCACAAATGAAAAGTAATTTCTCTTTGGTAAAGCCTCTGTCAGTTCCATTTTAGGGAGACTCGGTGGGGTAATAGTTAGTGCTATGGACTCTCAATCGAGATTTCCAGGTTCAGTTCTGTCCAGAGTCATTGTGTTGTGTTCTTTAAACTCACTGGCCTCTGTTTTTCCAGAGCGGGTTGTTCAAAGCCTCGTTAAGATAACCCACGGTTAGTAAGAAACTTGAATTCAGATATAAAAGCGTAAAAAGCAAATTTAATTTACCGGAAATTCGTTTTGTGTACAATTTGCTGATTGGATGCTCTAAACGGAACAGAGCAAATTATCAGTAGTTTCTTGGTGTTGCGGACGGTTGCGATCACTTCGTGCTACAGAAACCGGGTTTAGCTCTGGCCTAATAGGCCGCTTGCTTCATACCGAGACTTTACCTAATCTTACTTACCTGTTCAACTCTTGATATTCGTCTACTAGCAGTCTCTCGGGATTGTCACGTTGGCGAGCATGTTACGAGCGAGTGAACGAGGCAAACGGAGTAGGTTCCCGCCTCTTTCCAGTCTCCCTCTCGGCTCGTCACTCTGTCCACGGTCTTGCCAAGCCCGGCTCGACTGGTTGAAAAGGAAGTACTCGTAGACAAGAAATCATAATAGCTCCTGTTATGATATCTTGTCGTAGACTAACGTGTTTTGTTGTTTTTTTTTTTTTGTGGTGTTTACTTTTAACTAGCCCAGGAGGTGGCGCGAGATTTGTCAGCTAGTGCCAAAGCCCAATAAAACCAAAGTATTCGCTAAATGTCGACGCTCCATTTTTTTCTCTGTAGCGTGTCAGTCAGCTCTAGAGGGACGAGCTGTTGTGAACTTACAGATGGGGAACACTTTTGGTGCCTTTGTTGATATGAACGAGGCTATAAAGGTAGGTGTGCGTTTATTTCATTTGACTTGATTGGGAGATATTTCACTTGCTTAGCTCTTGAAAATTCTGATTATCGATACACAGATATCTACCTTGACTTTTTTTTCATTTAAAAAGTATAAAAGCAAGTCGCTTGAGATGCTTTTGCGCTTGATTGATAAAAAAAATTCTAATTGCCTTTTAAGCGTTATTAGTTATTATAAAATGAGTTACTTTTGAAAGCGATTCACTTGTTTGTTGTCTTCTTTTTTTCTGTAGATTTCAAAGACTGCTGAGTTGTTGACTAATCGTGGAGTTGTACAACAGGTAAGATGTGTCATATTAAAAAATAAGATAATCAGTTTTCAACTCTTCTCTCTTTGCCTCTTCGCGCTCTGTGGCGCATGTATAGCTGATTCAAATAGGTTGCTTTGGCCATTGGGCACTGGGCAAATGTACGTTTGATTTCTTGATTTGTATATTTTCTAGATTACTTTAACTTTTGTCAGTAGCATCCCTAATATTGTACATAGCTACAGCTTTTTATTAATATTATTATTACTTTTATTATTTTTAATATTAATGTATATTTTACAGATGAAGAGCCACCTTTCAGTGGGAATGCTGTAATAAAGTGAACTCATTATTATTATTTTTTTTTTTTTATTGTGTGACCACCAAACAATAGCTTACCAGTGCGCAAATGCCTGACTTCCAAAGCGACCTTTATTAAATCAGCTATATAAGGCCTCCACACTTCTCTGCCAACTTTCCCTGCTACCGTAATAAGTGTGTGTGGTTTTAGTAATGATTCTTATTTACGGGGATGGGACGTTGAATTGAACCATCGCCCAACCCCCAACTTGGAGGACCAGGCGTTGCAATTAGTCTGAAATTTCACCCAAAACCTACCCAGCACGGTTGAACTCACCAGGAACCCGCTTCCAACTGGTAAAGCTTTCAGGATCACCAAGGCACTCAAATGTCCCTACCAAGTTAAGGCGAAACGCTTAGGGAGAGTGGGGGAGGGGGTGGCAAATTGACTTTTGCAATTCTTGAATACGTTTTAATTCAGTCGCAACTCTCGCAAGCTGACCACCCGAAAAAAAAAAAAGAAAAACTGTCCGTTACTGAAGCCTATAATGGAACAGAAAATTAACTCTGTTGTGAAAAATCAAGGGCAACAAATACCTCGTTAACCCCACTGTGCGTTAGCCCTAGTAAAGGGAAGTAACAGACAACATGAAGCATAGGAAAAATCCTGTCACCTCGGTGGGATTCACAAGGCGAGAGTTGACATTACGGAAAGCGTGCTATTGCCCATTCAAGAAACCATAAGGGAAATAGGTACAAGCTTTCGGTGCAACGATTTCTTGTATCGTTCGGGTGGACAAGCGTTTCTTGTGATTGGTTAATGGTTGCCTTTTATACTATCGACCAATAATAAATAACGCTTGCCCACCACAACGGTCCCAGAAATCACTACGCGCAAAGCTTGTACCCATTCTTCCTAAAGTTTCCGAAGTGGGGAATAGTGCAGTAAGCAAAAGCAAGGCAGATGTGAAGGGAAATTTAGCAGTTGCCAAGAGTAACTTTTTTTCTAGGCAACTTTTTTGTTCAGTGTGTGCAGGATGTTGCACTTGGTCTGCTCCTCACACTTGCTGTTTCTTTGTTTGTATGTCCAGTTCATGGGTAATTTCGTGAATGCCATCCGGGACTATCAAGCGGCAGTGAAGACGGATCCGTCATATGCATTGGCTTACTACAATGCTGCTAACGTCTACTTCAGGCAAAGACAGTTCCAGCAGGTCAGTTTAATAGTGGTCAGCATCCATTTTCTCCTCTTAATGTCACAGCTCTTATTCAAACATTAAGGTGACGAGAAGAAAGGAAATGATCCTAAGAGGTGAAATCACTTAATGATAGATGGAATGAAATGTGTTGAGAGAAGCACTAAGAAAAAAACTCTGAGTTCCTGATGGGAGTTGAACCTACGACCCTCCAGACATTAGTCGCGATCGGATGCTCTAAACCACTAAACTACTGAGACGTTTAGTGATAAGCAAGCCATTGGTAGCCTGACATAACGACCACATCTAGCCTGTTCCAGGCGTTTAGATAGTAGAGCGCGGCGTTCAGATGATGGGGAGCGGGTTAAATCGTTCGCGGGTTATCTTGACGAAAACGTTTATTTTTTGTAAGATTGGCTGAAGTGACGAACGAGAAGTTTGACAAAAATTTGACGAAGGACTATTTTCTTAACCTCCTGGGTTCAACGCATTACGCCACTTGCACATCTTCCATAATGCACCTTATTTGCCCTTCAAAATTTTGCAGAAACATTGTTTTCAGTTTCTCTTGGAACAGCTGTAATACCCAGTAAAATTTGGAGGTGGGGGAGGGGGTGGGGGCAAAGAAGGTGCATCATGGGAGATGTACAAGTGGCGTATAAACGTTTTACAGTAATGTGTCCCGCAATCGTTTCTGGGATCGTTACTCTGGACACCCCGGTCAGCTTTTGGCCAATTTTTCCCTGTCCCTATTAACCGTTCCAGAAGTCTTTGCGAAAGTTAAGTTGGCGCAGTTGCCCTCTCGTTTCTAAGGTGACGAATTTATCATTGTAACCATTACTTTCGAACTACATCTCTCCAGTAATTTTACTCAGATGTAGGAAAAGCAGTGCAGATAGAGGAGGGTGCAGAGTGTTGTATCACAAATTAGGGAGCTTAAGCAACCACGAGGACGACGGTAGTCAAAACGTCGCTAAAAAAATGAATTTGCGTCCTTTCAAACGTTTATTTGGCCTAGCTCAATTTGTCAAATGTCGAGCGATTTCTCCTGGAGTTGAATTCTTAAGAAATTTTATCCAGCTTCAAACAGAGAGAGGAAAATTCGTCTTCGTATGTTCACGTCTTCCATAAATCGTCACATTAGGAGGTTTCACGTCGTAGTCGTGCTGTGGACGTCAAAGAAATGTACTAAAAAGCGTGATACACGTGCAGAGCTGTTGTTTCGCTCTGAAAACCAACTGTATTTTGACGTAGTTGTTGTCGTCGTTGTCGTGGTGGTTGCTTAAGCTCTCTATTAAAATCAGACGCCCAACAAGTATGCATGTAAACGATTGAAGGTTTAGGTAGGTTGAGTATGATCGTCCGGGTGAACGTGGTCCTGATCAGGACTTTTGTTGTTGACAGTGACTGACGTTTCTACAACCTGTGCAGTAGTCATCTTCAGAGTCTTAGTGAATTGTATCACTTCCGTTGATGGTATAATCTAGAATTTGGCAACTGATTGTATTTCTCATTCGAGTATTCATTCTTAAAAGATCGTGTTTGCATATGGAATTAAGAGCTGTTTGTGAGCTCTAATAGCTCTTTAAGTCTTTCATTGTGTTAACACTGTTTGTTTGATATCTATGTGAAGGCCCTTACTTACTACAATAAGGCATTATCGTGGTATGCAGACGATGAATCAGCAGTTCTTAACCGCGCTATAACCAAGGTACATCTAATCGTGGTATTCAGTGTGCAAAAAAGACTCCTATGCAGACATTCTGAGGGCTGGCTTTGTCACGCGTTCTGCTGTCACGGGACATTGCGTGACAAAGCTCTCTCTGAGATTAATCTGAGATTATGTCCCCCCGAGGGGTGCTCTAAGAATTTTTGGTCGGGATGTGTTGCTTGAACTCTAAAACACTTAGCCTATACCAGACAATGTTCAGCTGCAATTTTTGCTACTACATAGACTGGGCACCAAACACCTTACCCTGTTACAAAGTAACTATGAAGCAGAAACTCCAATTCTTCATTCCCTAGATTAGTTTCCTACAAGGATGGCCCATTCTAGTTCAAAGTCCTCTGATTTCTATACCCTATTCTACAATAAACTGCTTGAATTAACCCTTTGTGTCCCAAGTGTGACCAAAATCAAGTTTATCCTTGCAATATCCACACTTTTTCAACAGTAAAGGATATGAGAATAAACAAAATAATCTTCTAAGGGAAATGCTTTAATCTTTGTACAAATTCTCTCAACCACCTCTTTAAGGAAATTTGTGGAGATCAGTCTGAAGAATTTGTGAATCTATCTTTGGGCCTAAAGGGTTAATAAAATCCCTACTCTTGACTGCGGCACATGTGGCCCATATATGGCACTGCCTATACCCCACCACCTCTTACCCCCATTCCAGGTTATGCCCCAAAAGAAAACTGTGCAATGCACTATTAGCTGCTGGCAGACAACTATTGTCTATTCTTAGAGCTTCGACACACTAGAAGAACGGGATAGGACCCTACCTTTTTCTGTCCTGTACAGGTTATGATGAAAGATACCAGAGGGGCTATTCAAGATTTTCATCGTGCTGGTAAGTGTTCTGTTTGATCTTAAACATTAACTTTTTCCTCCATATATTATTCTATGTTCTCCATGCTTCATCAGCTACCCATCCCCCCCCCCTTCCCCCCTTCCCCCAACCCACCCAACAACCTCACTTATGACTCTCCTTTCCATGAGCAAACTTCGACACAATGTTTAGTCCAAAATGAAGCCCTCTGGTCAATAAACCAAAGCATAACAGAATAATAAATGAAATGAATTTATCCAGTGACTGGCACTCTAGTTGCTCTGACTATTGACGTACTTGGACGTAGCGTCCGGTCGAGGCAAAGTTCACTGATATCCCGGTTAAGCCTTTCAGCTGCTCAAGAATACATCATAACAGGGAGTATCAAATGTGGGGAGGGAGGAAATATGACTCCCCTATAAACGCTCGCATGGACAGCCCACACATAGTTTATTTTAAAATTCACATCAAATACACACAGCCAGCTCTCCGTAAGACGGATAGCGCTAGGACCGGCAGCAAATGTTTACCTTGGACGAATGTCCACCTAGAACAGTGAAAGCAAATGTCTGTTGAACGACAGGGGGCAAACTGGGGGAGTTCGTTTTAATTCTTATAAAGGCTGTTGNCCTATAAACGCTCGCATGGACAGCCCACACATAGTTTATTTTAAAATTCACATCAAATACACACAGCCAGCTCTCCGTAAGACGGATAGCGCTAGGACCGGCAGCAAATGTTTACCTTGGACGAATGTCCACCTAGAACAGTGAAAGCAAATGTCTGTTGAACGACAGGGGGCAAACTGGGGGAGTTCGTTTTAATTCTTATAAAGGCTGTTGTTGTTGTTGTTGTTGTTGTTTTACACGACGTTCTTTACTTTTTACCTTTTACTTTTCTTTTTTTCACCAGTGGAGTTGAATCCGTACGCAGCTCATGTATACTTTAACCGTGCCAACCTGTACGCATCCCTTAGGAAATACAAAGAGTCCGAGGAAGATTACACCAGAGGTAATATGAATACCGAGTACCATGACTATGCACCAGAGTGTTATTCTTGTCATAAGAGACCTTTTTTCGCATTCCTGTGAAGAAGGCACCAACTCGAAGCTTGGGGTAACAAAATACACAGTAATAGATATTTGAATTTCCAGTTGCCATAATGCTTTTTTGCCCCTCCCCCTCCCCCTCCCCCCATCCCGACCAAAAAAAAATCATAAACTATTATTTTCAAATGCTCCAACTGCATATTCCTAAGCGCATTTGAAAACAGTAGTCTTTGCAAAACTGGGGGTTTATAGGGTCGAAAGAGTGTATTGTAGCCTCCCAAGCAGGCGTTTTAAGGGGAGTCGTATTTCCTTCCTTACCACAGGAGGGAGGAAAATAACGCCTACGTAGGAGGCTAAGTGGGTATTTGAAAAGAGTCACTGAAATTGTCAATCAAGCCTCGGCCTCCGGGGGTGCACTTCATTATGTGCCGCTGGATGGGGTCGCATTTTCACGACTGGATTGACTATATTGGGGTTGCATTTTCTGATTTTTTTGGGTAAGACAGTTCTTCATATTTACCGTTAGCAAACGTACCAGGATGTTTGCACTGTAGGTGAAAATTTAAGTGATCTTCATTCAATTCAAAAATGGGTCAATTCATTTTAGGATGACATACCGTATTTATTCGATTAACCGCTCTGGGCGCTTATTAAATTTTTGGACCTTGAGAGTGGGCGCTTATTCGAGGTGGGCGCTTATTCGAGGCTGGGCGCTTATTAAATTTTCACCATTTTAAGCAAGTGAAGTATGTTTATTTTGCAACAAAACAATAAATGCTAATAACAAAACGCGAAGGTTTCTGTAATATACTCTGAAGAAAACTCCTTCCTCGGGGAAGTCTCTTATTAGAATTTATTCACTCAAGTGGGTGGGGTGGGGGTGAGCGCTTATTTGAGTTTGATTGGGAGGACGAGGGGTAAGCGCTTATTAACTTTTTCGGCCTTTTAGATGGGCGCTTATTCGAGGTGGGCGCTTATTCGAATAAATACGGTATTTAAAGAATTGACAAGGTAGATACATGAATGTTGGGATCGAGAAAATTACATTATTTAACCAAAAGTCACTAAGATGGGGTCTATAATTGGCCACAGAAAAGACCGTAATGAAGTAGGGCCTCTGAGAGGCCAGCGGCACATACCTAGCAAAACTTAACCTAAGTACCCCCGCCCCCCCCCCCCCCCCCCGGGCCTCAGCCTCGTTGTATTGCTAGTGCCCAGTCTTCCCTTGAGTGGGACGCGGCAAAGGTCTATTGTGATTTGGACTATTGTAATGTAACAAACTCTCATTTTTTCAAGTCGGGCCTAAACTTTTTCTACACGTCTGCTTGTTGACGTCTTGGGCCCCGTTTCTGAAAATTCCCGTCAAAGATATATATTTTTATTATTCTTTAGCACTGAGTTTGAAACCTGGAGATGCTCTTGTTTATAAGCGACGGGCCGATGTTCTTGGTAGACAAGGCAAGAAAACAGCGGCTATTGAGGATTACAAAAAAGCGATAATAATCCAGACCAGAAGACACTAGGAGTTGAAGAGATCAGTCTAAGGTCCTAACAATTCATTTTTATTGACTTTCGTCAACAAGAACAGTTCTCGAAGAATACCGTGAAATTCCGAAAATAAGCCCTGGGGCTTATATTTTTCAAAGGCCGTTTTTGAGGGGCTTGTTTTTGGAGGGGCTTATATTCGCAGGGGCTTATCTATGGAGGGAAATTTGCGTTTCAAAATCGATTGGGCTAACCTTACAGTTGGAAGGAAATTTACTGTTTTTGCTTTGTTTTACTTCGTATTTGAGGGCGATTTTCAGGTACAAGTCCCTGGGGAGCTTATATTTGGAGGGGCGATTTAACGGAGGGTTTTTAGCGTTACGAGTCTTGGGGGCTTACATTTGGAGGGGCTTATTTTCGGAATTTTACGGTAACCAAAAAAGAAAAACCTCAAATGGTAATCAGTCTAAAACACAAGAAATCTGAATAGTGCCACATAAATTATTAGAGGTTTGATGCGAAGGTCACTTGACGGTTTCACTTGTACGCACAAACGTTAAAGTTAGAATGGAAATACATTGTAATATATGTCAACCAAACCGGCAACCTTTTGACAGAGGGAATGTGGGATGGGCAACAAATGCTCGAGTTGGGGTCTAGCAGCATATTTTGCCTTCCTCCCAACAAACACTTCCTTTGGGCTTGAGAGTAGGCAATACGATTATGTTTTGAATCTCTATCCCAGACTTTCCAGTAATGTCAATATTGGCTTAAAGCAACTGTTTAAGTTTCCTGAAGTTCTTATCGAGGTACAAGGTTAACATCATTACATGTAAATAGCGTAACCTCGTTACCAGGCGTCCTGTCGTGTATTTGAACCAAAGACCTTAAAAACGAGGTTGGTGAGTTTATAGTGAGATAACATTTTACTCTTTTTTGTATAATGTGTGAATACATGTTGAAAAATTCAAAGAAACAGCATTATTTAAAAAACTATTTATTTTTTAGTTATTAAACAAGGGTTTAACTAAAATGATTTGTTACTAAACTTAAAAAAAAAAACGTTTTGAATATTATGTCATCTGACTGACCTTCTATGTCCTGTAAGTACAATATACGGACACCGAAGGGGCATGCCATAGCGTCCGTTTTACCCGTCTTAAGCGGAGTATTTTAAAAATTACTCTGCTTAATACTGACACCCGGTTTCTCTTAAAAGAGAAAATATATGAGCTTTCCGTCCGGACAAACGAAACTGTCCGTGATATACGTGTGTCCTTATCAAGTGGGAGTCCGTAGAGTGGGATTCCACTGTACTTGTTCCATCAATGGTTGTAGAATCTGTTAGCGGTATTAGCCCGGTTCCGCCAGGAACTATTCGCTTCAAAGGAACGAGCTTGAATCATCGAAAGAAAGGATCATGTAAAAGAGAAAAAAGCTTCTTGCTGAACGGGGTTCAGAGTCTACCTCTGGTGACTGGTCATTATGATAATTTGTTGATGTTTATACGTCAGTTGATTCCTGCTCTTTCTTCACAAGTTGCCGTTACTCTCATTCGATGTCATGGACTGCTAAAATAATCAAGCTGCAGACAGTTCTCGTGGCTCAAGTACCTTGGAGCAGCAATGATTGGCTCGGTGTAAGCTCAAGTGTTCTGAAATAGCAGTTATGGGGTTGGTTGACAGGATGAGGATGGCTTTATATACGGAATTAGCCGATGAGGAGAAGACGTGGCTTGGCGTACAGGCTTTAAGGACACTGATCAAGGCAGTTTCAAGTTTGTTTAGCATTTTGAAGGTCGTTTTTTCCTGTGCGCTGAAGAAAATACAGCCTATGACATGGTTGGAAACTCATTTCCTGAGCTCTGTTCCACTAGTTGTATGATGTCGCAAATTATGAAAATGGATACCGCCTGAAGAAGAGGTTCAAGTGCGCTAAAATCGAAGAAAGTCGATACTTTTATGAAATCTCCAGTGCTCGAACCCGGTAAAAAAAAAAACTTCGGACAGCTTTCGGAAATTTAGCAGTCTGCGGGGTACCTTATGAAAGCCTTAAGAAAACTTGATCGATTCATAGAACCTGGCTTGGAACTATAGCATTGTAAAACTCCACGTTATAAACAATATCTGAAAATGGTCCGAAAAATCATTACCAAAATTATTTATTGAAGGGCACGTATGCTTTAGAGAAGGCGAAGGGGCACTCGTTGAATTTTTATAATAAGCCTCTCCATCGCACTGCATTATAGCCATATAGGATAGAATCTACTTTAAAGCACTAGACGTGGAAAGAGGGAAGTTTTTCTAAGCTGTTTGGGTGTATGTTTTGTCTTTGGACAGATGTAATGGACATTTAATGAAGGGTGTAATGACATGTTCAATGTGAACCGAGTTTAGCATATTCTGGAGCAGCATACTTACCTTGAAGTTATGAATATATGAAAATCATGCGTCTAAAACTGCGATGATCTTCTTTCATATAATTCTTCACCCCGCAGTTCTCATATCTGATTTTCATATATTCATAACTTCATCATCATCCTTTTCACGGGTTTATAACGAACCAATTCAACCACCTGCTCCCAGTTGGCTTGTTAGCTTAATTGGTACAGCGCTGCACCGGAAAAACAGGACTACCTTTTCAGACGATCCGTTTCTCCCGGAAATTTTTCACTGAAACGACCCGAAAATTCGTGTTCTATTTACTTTCCAACCGGATTGTCCGGAAATTTTTTGTAAATGGTAAACAACACTTATCTTTGTCAAAGGGTTATAAAGACGTGCAGAAATTAATTTTGGATAAATTGGGTATAAAAGTTGTCTTTGACGTAACAAGCATCATCAAGGATGAGAATCAAAACGGGCGGATCTGTGTTGATTGAGCTCTGTTTGATGNGGGTACCTTATGAAAGCCTTAAGAAAACTTGATCGATTCATAGAACCTGGCTTGGAACTATAGCATTGTAAAACTCCACGTTATAAACAATATCTGAAAATGGTCCGAAAAATCATTACCAAAATTATTTATTGAAGGGCACGTATGCTTTAGAGAAGGCGAAGGGGCACTCGTTGAATTTTTATAATAAGCCTCTCCATCGCACTGCATTATAGCCATATAGGATAGAATCTACTTTAAAGCACTAGACGTGGAAAGAGGGAAGTTTTTCTAAGCTGTTTGGGTGTATGTTTTGTCTTTGGACAGATGTAATGGACATTTAATGAAGGGTGTAATGACATGTTCAATGTGAACCGAGTTTAGCATATTCTGGAGCAGCATACTTACCTTGAAGTTATGAATATATGAAAATCATGCGTCTAAAACTGCGATGATCTTCTTTCATATAATTCTTCACCCCGCAGTTCTCATATCTGATTTTCATATATTCATAACTTCATCATCATCCTTTTCACGGGTTTATAACGAACCAATTCAACCACCTGCTCCCAGTTGGCTTGTTAGCTTAATTGGTACAGCGCTGCACCGGAAAAACAGGACTACCTTTTCAGACGATCCGTTTCTCCCGGAAATTTTTCACTGAAACGACCCGAAAATTCGTGTTCTATTTACTTTCCAACCGGATTGTCCGGAAATTTTTTGTAAATGGTAAACAACACTTATCTTTGTCAAAGGGTTATAAAGACGTGCAGAAATTAATTTTGGATAAATTGGGTATAAAAGTTGTCTTTGACGTAACAAGCATCATCAAGGATGAGAATCAAAACGGGCGGATCTGTGTTGATTGAGCTCTGTTTGATGGGATGGAAAACAATTCAAGATTATCGTTTGATGAATTCAGTTTCAGGCGTAGAAAGCTGGGAAAAACCCAGACGCGCGAAAGTTTACTTCACAGTACTTACCTAATTTTAAATTCATTAGTACGGGTCTACTACATTAACTTCGTCTTGTAAGAGCGTATTTTTTGCCATTTCTGACCTTGTTTCATGCTTGTTCTCAGAATCGGTTTTCCCCAGCTGCTTGCATAATGGTTGCGCATAATCAAATGCCGGTAGGGCTTAGTTTAGCCTCCCACGCAGGCGTTTTTAAGGGAGCTCGTATTTTTTCCTTAGTTGTACGTGAGCAAGTGTGCTAGGACTGACACTTTGAATCCGGCCGTTCACTACTAACTATATCGTTAATGGCAAATCTAAATGCAAATAAAGCTTGTTAAATATTCTAAACTGTTGATTCTCGAGCGGTGCACGCTATCAGCAAGGGTAATTTAGTTTAACAAAAACTACGTGGATTTCAGTAAAAACGCAGGAAAAAATTAATATAGATAAATAATAGAATGGCCGGCATTTGGCTGAGAGCTAAGCGGTGATAAGGGTCTAGACTAATGTCCTAAGATGTGTTCATCTTAAGTGTAAATTCACTTTGTCGCTTACAAAGTGACATCTTGAGACTCCGGTATTTAATTTTTATAAATGTCAATCCAATCGCGCCGTGAAAAGGAAGACAAAGCTAAAATTACTTACAGCTGTTTCAACATTGTTCAATTTACACCCGCCTTGGGGTCCCTCCCAGCGAGCGTAAACGGCAAGCGAAAAGTTCACGAGAGTTTATGCCATATTATCCTGAACATTTCTCGTTTCTCAGACTTCTTTTCCTCCACACGTTATAATCACGGTTATTGCAAAGTCAGCAAACGCGAGGTCTCCCGTTCAAGGTGGCAATTTCTCAAAATTAATTAAGACAAAATGAGAAGATGAAACAACTTATTTTCTCTGTCGATCTCACTTGCTCAACCTCTTCATTCCGCAATTAAACGTCGCCAGTCAACCCTGTCCTGTGCTTTGGCTTCTCCCCGTGTTAGATCCATCTCCATCAGCTCTTTCATCCCTGTCCTCCGCCAGGTGGTTTTGGGCCGACCTCTTTTTCTCCTTAGTCTGGGAGCCAAGACTGAACTTCCGAAATTTGACTCGTAGGCGTAGTTTTTTTTTTTTTTACTTACATAGAATGTACATATGTAATGCTCAGAGGCGATCTTTACGATATAAATGTAGTATCAGATAATATTTCACATAATTTCAGTGATGTCGTTATATATTTGGCTTGATAGGTGGTTGTCATCTTGCCGTAATCTCCTACCAACAGCTCCTTTTCCCTTTAACATGAAATCAAGGCTGAATAAAAACGGCTGTATACATCAGCTTAGCCCTGGAATCTTTTCGTAAAAAAATGGAACAATTTGAAAGAAATAAGTTACTTTAAAGATTTAAAGGTACGGAAAACGGGCAACTTGTCTTGCAACATTGCTGCAAAAGGGGCTGAATAGCGATGTTGCGCATTTTACCACCCTCATCAAACCTGTCTTGCAACAAATCAGGTTGTTAACAGGTTTGACCGTGGGTGGTAAAACGCGCAACATCGCTATTCAACTCGTTTTTCAGTAATGTTGAAAGACAAGTTGCACGTTTTTTGTTGCCCGTTTTTCCGTACCTTAAAGGGACTACGTTATGTTATTTGATATCTTTTTAAAAAGCTAAAACATTTCTCGCATCAAAAACAATGGCCCAGTTTTGTTATTTAATACAGTCGACGCTCTAAGCGACCAACTCGGAACTTCGGAAAAGTGGTCGTAACAAGAGCTGGTCGCTTACGAGAGCTTCAAAAGCTCCATAATAATTCATAAAGAAAAATCAAAAGAAGTTAATGTTTTAAAATGAGTGTCTTTATATCTGATATAGACAAGGCTAAACTTAACAACACTGCACTGTACAAGATCTTTATCCACGGATTATTAGGGCAGTTTGCAGTTTCATTTAAGTGTTGATTTCAGTTAATAAGACTCTTAGTGGTCGCTTACGAGAGTTTAAAAACAATAGAAAAGTCCAGTAGGGTAATCCCAAAGGTGGCCGTGGTCGCTAACAGAAGCTTTTCATTACAAAATTGAAGTTACAACACTTCAAACAGGGTTCAGTTCAACAGTTCAAACAGGGTTTCACAAAGCTGGTA